GCATCTGCTGTGCTGGTTTCACCGTCCAGTATAAAGACTGAAAGCGCATTTCGGATAATCTTTCGCTGGGCTGGTGCATACTGATGTGCATGTACCTGCAGTAGGTCCATCGCATCTGGGATCTCGCCCCTCCGGAGATGCAGAAGGGTCACGGCCGCGACAGTTTCAGGGGCAAAGTTGGCCTTGCGCTCGTGTAGGTCGTCTACCATGGCCATCAATTCGTCAAAGTGGTTTTGGTTTGATATACAGAGGGCCTGTATCAGCTGATTGATGGCTGCAACACTGCGATCAGCACCTGAGAAGCAGCCCTGAAGGTTGAAGTAGGCCGCCCTAGCTCCATCGAGGTCTCCCACAGAGATTCGGTATGCTATCTGCATAGTGTATGTCGTTTCATCAGGAATGATGCCACGATTCTCACCAAGAACGATGTAGCGTTCAGCCAGGTAAGGGTCCGACTTTGACATACAGTGCTCGACCAGCGTGTTGATGGTTTCGACGTCTGGGCGGATAACAGGAATGCTGGGGTCTTTGCGGCGTGCCTCATCGTTGCGACGGATTAGTACATCAATCATACGATTGATCTCGTCGGGCCCTTTGCCGATGGCTACCGACCACAGAAAGACAGTATCCCAAGCTTCTTTGGTAGGCATGGCATCTTTGAGCAGGGTGGCTACGACCTCCTGACCAAAAGTCAGATCGCCTTTGAAAGCGCAAGCCCTCAGCAGTGCAGAGCTTGTCTTCCCCGAGGGGGTCGCAGGATCACCAAATTCGGAAAAGACAGGTCGGAAATACCATGATTTGGCTTTTTCAAGATCGCCTTTCTCTGCATAATGTGAGACTAGCATGCGTTGTAATGGGCGGGTCAAGGGAATCGACAGGTGTTGTAGCATATCTACAGTCTTTGCTATTCCGCCTGCGTCATTTTCATCAAGGATGCTTTCAAGTACGGTCTGCCATGCATGGAGAGAAGCTAGTCGTACAGGAGCAGGTGCATTAGAATCGTAAACGAAGGCGCCGGCCGCAACCTGTCTTGCCTCGGCAGGGGCGCCAAATAAGGACAGCAGGCGAACTTGGAAAAGCTTAATGTACATGTCGAATGGGATATCGAGGTCTTTCCGGCTTGCATTACTGTTCTTGTCTTGGTCACCTTGAGTCGATTTTGCAAGCTCATCAATGAGCATCTGACCAAATGGAAGATGCCACTTTCCAACCACATTCGGTCGCTTTTCCAGAAGTTGGTCAAGAATCGCCTGCATGTCTTTCCTAGTGAGCCAGGGCTGTCCATCGTCCTGTGGTGTTTCCTTCAGATACTGCAGCGCGTAGTGGGCGCTCGCCACATGGAAGTCCTCAAACTTTCCTTTGTACAAGGCGAAAAAGTCACGGATCGCTTGGGCGACTTCGGCGGGTTTGGGCGGACGAATGGCATTCTCTTTTGCGAATGCCACCTCAGTCAGCTTCTCGAGGCCGGCAGGCAACTCGGCAGGCTTCAGCTTCCTCTGTTGTTTAAAGAGATTGCCGAAGAAGGAGCGCCGCTGGGTATAGGATATTGATCGGGAGGCAGGCTGGGTGGCTGTACGGGGGCGAAGAGGGCGATGGCGACATCCTCGATATAGCAGAGGCTCGTTTGCGATGAGATTGCGGAAGACAACGCGAGTCAATTGAGAAGGCATGGTGGCGATTAGGTGGGTAAAAGCTCCATGGGGACAGCAGAGGATACGGTTAGAATATATATATACACGAAAAAGACGTTGCGATGGTGAACGCGGAGAGTAGGCGGGGGACGAGGGGATGATGTCGGCGGCGAATCTATGGTGTGGTGAAATCATACAACGCTAAGAAAGCAAACCTCCGACCGCCGACGAGGGCCGCATATCGAAAAGTCACGACAACGACAGCGACAGCGACACGGCGACGGCAGGAGCACCCACCAACATGTCTGTGATGCGAACATCATTGCGGCCAACGCTGGCGGCGGCGAGGACGGGCATGCGCTGCTTTTCATCGGGCCCGCAGAAGCAAGGTGCGCCCTCAATTCCTTCACCATCATCACCACCATATTCTCTCTAACATACGCCGCTCAGACGACCTCATGAGCATTCTCGGCCAGAGCGCAGCCGCCCGCCACCCCGCCAACATCTCCTCAACCAATAATACAGCCAATTCGCGCCCGGGAGAGTCTGCCGCCCTACGCTTTGCCCGCAATGTAGGCCTCGACCGCGCAGCCTCAAGCCCAAACCGTGAACTAGCCGAGTCAGAGCGCCTTTCCCAATACCAGCGCCAGATATACCGCAAGTGGCAACCTGGCGACGTGTATGCGCCACATGACCTGAGCGGAACCGAGCAGAAGAAGTGGAAACAAGGCCGCAAGAGGCCACAGGAGGACGCTTTCGACGTCCTTGGTGTCAATCCCGTCTTGGAGTACAAGGTGCGTTGGGGATGTGGGCGGAATCAAGGCTACAGACAGCTAACAACTGGACGGGCAGAACTTCACCATCATGTCTGAGTACATGACCGAGATGGGCCGCATAAAGCACTCGAGGGATACCGGGCTGCGACCAAAAAACCAAAGAAAGATTGCAAAGGCGATACGGAGAGCAGTCGGCCTGGGCTTGATGCCCAGTGTCCACAGGCATCCGCTTGTGCTCAAGAAGAGCAATCCTGCACGCTTCTTGTAAGAATATATAGGGCCTTGTACAATACAATCATGACATTAAGTTTTCGACTACCACTACCCATGCTGGTGACTGGTCCCATTCCCATTCTCAGCAATCCACTGCACAATCATCTCCTGCTGAGCCTTCACAATATCCATAGCATGATCATCATCATACAGACCATACCAACCCGGACTTTCATGCGGCGGATCACCCGCCCATACCATGCCAAACTCATTCGCCTGCTGCGTCTCCGGACGATAAACCCCGCTATACGCCCACGGACATGTGCCCACGTACGCACCCCCATTCCTAAACTCATCCATGACCGTCCCAATAATCGTCGTAAAATACGCATCCTTGTGCGTCGTCGGTGCACTGCTTAAATATGGATACTCCTTGTTCTTGTTAACCCAGTTATCGCGCGCCATGCCAAACTCCTCGAGGAAAACAGGCTTGCCGATATCCAGCGCCCAGCGACTCGAGTTCTTCATAAAGTCACGTGCAAACTGCTGCGAGGTAGCTAGATTTGCGTCGCTTTCCCCGTACATGTCGTATATACCCCAGTTCTGCACCCAGCAGTGCGTAGTGGCGTACGATACTGTCGGGAAATCGTGCACGCGCTTGAAATAGTACTCGCCTTGCTTGGATTCGAGGCCTACGCTGATGAGTTGACGAGGTGATATGGAGTGGATGTATCGGGATATGCGGTCCACCCAGGGAAATAGCAGGTCGTTGGGATTCGGCACGCTGAAAAGGTTGTATGGGCCTGTGTATCCTAGTATGTCGGAAGGCTGGGGTTCGTTGGCAAGCTGCCATGTCATGATTGCCGGGTCTTCGGTGTAAAGTAATCCAGTGACAGTGTTGCGCCGGCTCATGACTGTTTTGATATGGTCCATGTACCACTGCTCTGCTTGCGTGTTGTTGTAGATCAGATTGGCATACGCAACAAAATCGTTGTATGATGCTGCATCCACGCCCTGTTCGGTGTAATTTCCCCATCCTGTGCCGGGTACCTCGCGCTGAGGCGACGCCGTCAGGTTCCAGCTTGGAGGATACGGGATCTTGGTGTTGTTGGTCGCCCATGACACATACTGTGCGAAACCGCCGCTCCATTGCCACTGATTGTTGAGTGTCATGGTAGCACGCATTCCGCGCTTCGACATTTCAGCGAGGCAAATGTCGAGACCTTTGAAAATTTCTTCGTTATACTCGCCAGGTGCCTCTTGTAAAGCTGGGCTCATACGGAAAGGCTGCGGTGTCGGCGCACCTTCTGAGCCCGCCATGATGCGCAGATGGTTGACTCCATGAGCGGCCATCTGATCCAGTTCTGTCACAAGGCGCGAGTAGTTGCCGCCTGCAGAATCACTTGCAGCAAGATTCATACATGCCCAGTAGTTCATTCCTGGAAGTATGTCAGAAAATCTGACTTTATCAAGAATGAAACAGGAAACAGCTCATAACATACCGGTAAGATAGTGAAGCCCATCTTTATCATACAACCTTGTTCCCTCAACATAAACAAAGTCGTCATCTGCGATTGCAGATTCATGAGAACTCTGCTCATTCCTTGGTAGCACCGACCCCGCAGCCAGCGAGGCCAAAAGCAGCTGCAAAGAAGCCTTCATGTTGAGAACCCCCAGGTACAACAAACAAGAAGTCGAGCTTAACCAGGTACCAAAAAGCACCTTGATCTGAACCTTTTATACCGCTCCTTCTTGACAACCCCACATCAGCTGTAGTGCAACCGCACCCCCGACCGTTGGGCCAGCGGCTAATCCCACATCAATACACTACTGACATCATGTGCGGAGAAAGATCTTCCGAATAGCAACTGGTTAAAATCCTGTTCCGTCCACTATGCTGCATAGGCAGTTGGTAGTAGTCGTCTGGGCATGGTTCCTGAGGTGATACCAGGCGGGGAAGCCGTTTTGGGTACGGAGAGAGGACCTCCGTGCTAGTGCTTCAGGTTAGTGGCAGCTGGGATAGGTTCGGTTCCATGTTACCCACATTACGCTAAGCACTGGGTACGGTGAACTACTAATGTGCGATGGGAAGGTCGACATCAGGGTATTTCTTGGAATGAATATAATAGTTACCCCTGAGTCGTATTTGAGATCAATTTCCAATTACGCTGAGGAGGTTACATTCGCGAATTTAAACATTCATATCCACGAAAAGACTGAGAAACCTCAGACATTGTTCGATCCTCATTCGGCGGAGCGCGCGGAATACATGGCATCATGGGTTCAGTAAACGCAAAGAGCAAGGAAAAGACCACGGCAGAACCGGAAGGTAACGGAGGATAACCAGCTACTCAGAAATCGCATTATTACTCTTCAAAATCGCCACTTCATTGCCGTCATACACCGGTTCCCTCAGGAGGCTTCGGAACGAGCGTTTCCTCAAACCATGACATTGTCACTAAGCTTAGTTTCGATATAAATTCGGCAATGCCTTTCGCCAGACACTTGTGTAGTAAGCCCAGGAGTCCAGGAAAAGAGGTAATCAAATTGGATATCATCTCAACTATTCACCTTCAAACACAGTCCTGAATGCTATCAAAGACTCCCCTCCTGCTTCTTCACGCGCTCAAAAAGTTGAACAAAAGCAGCCGGGTCCTGCGCCCCTCCGATTTCATACTGGTCATTGATTGTAAAGTTTGGCACACCAGTAATATACTGCTGCCTGGCTTGCTGTACCTCCCGGTCAACTTCCGGCCCGCCTTTGCCAGACTCCAGCCACTCCTTGACCTCTTTCTCGTCAAGTCCAGCCTTGACACCCGCCTCAGTAAGCACTTCATGAGTCGTGATGTCCTTCTCGTTCTCAAAGTACGCAGCAAAAAGCTCTTCGATCACACGCGTCTGGACCTGAGGCCCCTTAGTTTTCCCGAGCTGCACAAGGCGATGCGAATCACGTGTATTTCCTGTGTTACCGCCGTACTTGAAGTTGATGCCTTCCGCTTTGCCGACTTCCGATAGGCGTTCTTTCATCATTGCTATGCGCTCTTTTCCAAATTTAGAATTCCACACTTGCTCCTTGTTCATACTCTTTCCGGCGTCTGGGTTGAGGTAGAAGGGGAGCCAGGATGTGGAGAAGGTGTCATTGGAGTCGGGGTGTTTCTCCTTGTAAGCTGCAATGCCTTTCTCAAGGCGCTTCTTGCCCACGTAGCACCATGCTATGAACGAATGGTTAGTCTTAGATTTTATCGTGGATACAATAAAGACTTACGGCACACGGTGTCGCTGACGATATTGATCTGGAAGTTGGTCATGCTGCGTAGACTTGCTCGAAACGCCACAGTGAAGCTGTGAAAGACGTAGTATGCTGTTACTGGAGTGATTTTGTTGTTTTTAGCGCGCGCTGGATTTTATATATATATGGAGGATGAATTGGAGGACGAATTGGAGGACGAACATTGCTGACAAATGGCATGTTGGTGTTGGTGTTGGTGTTACTCAAGCCCGCGGAATTTGCCCTTTCCAGTGGGTTCCGCGGTTCCCGGGGTTGTTCCCTCACGAAAAACGCAGTCACTCAACTTTTCCGGCTCATGACACACATTAATACTGGTCCTTACGACACTTCTGAGTTGCTCCCCAAATGTTGTCAGAACCTGGCTCTTTCTGGCCCTTCACGGCCCGTTTAGGACCGTATTTATCCCTCTCAAGCCTCCTTAGTCATGTCTGACTCATCTCTGTATATATAACTAAGCACTATGGACACTACCTTAGCGCGGTAGCTGTTCGTCTACGTGGAATACAGATCGTTAGGCACTTATCGCTATTGTTTCTCTCTATCCGTGCTAAACCCACTGCTAACGTCTCACAAATGCTGGTTAAGTGGAATTATTGTCAGTAATATCATTTATGTGTATGCAGCGACCAAGCGGGGACGTGTGGCGTCACTATGTTACATATCAAATCTTTTGGTCATACAAATCGATCAGGCTTTAATTTCATCATTTTTCATTATGATATCATAAAAGTAACAGACTAAGGACCCAATAACACCTCGCTATGCAGAAGATCAACTTTTGCTCAGTCCCCTGAGCGCGCAGCAAACATCACAGCCTACTGCTATCCTCGCTTCAATTCCTCACGAAACTTCGCCCCACGAGTCAAAATCAGGATAATGCCGGGGATGCAAAGCAGGTCCATGATACCCAGACCAGTAAACGCCCATCCCCATCCCATTCCATCTAGAATGCCGCCCATGATGGCTGCGCAGATGGCTGCGGCTACGTTGCGGAGAAAGCCTCCCAGTGCCACCAAGCTGGCAGTTTGAGTAGGATCACATTCCGTTTGGAACGAGGTGCTCGTTACAAACACTATAGAGACACCAACCGCTGCGAGCGCTGAGCCACAGAGACCTAACGCTGGGTGTAGATGGTTAAGCGTAAACCAACCAAACATCAACTTTCCAGCAGCCGCACAGAGGAATCCCGGAATCTGAATTGCAATTCGTCGTTCGGGTGCTACTTTTCCATCTGGGCTGTTGGCTATGGCCTTCTTCCGCATGTAATCCGAAAGCCGCCCAACAACAATGGAAGCGAGGAACATGGCGATACCGGGACAGAGGAAAGCATAGCCGACCTCGGCAGTCGTCCAATTGTAACCTTCTTGCCAGATAGTAGGAAATGAAATGTACATGCCATATAGACCAGCAAACTGAAAAGCTCCGTTGAAGCAGACAATCAGGTGCGGTGGGTACTTCAAGAGACGCATGAACTTGCGGAACGAGGGCCGGGGAACTTTGGGAACATTCGTGTCGGTGCAAGGCTTAGTCCAAAACTTTGGCATCGATATCCAGGGTTGTTTGGCAACACTGGCGCCATTTCCAACCAGAGAGCGCAGAGTTTCTGGCATGCAGAAGACGATGGCGAGGTACACTGGGAAGCTTGTCATCGAGAGGAAGGCAAATACCCATCTCCACCGTGACTCGGTCGCAAATTGACCACCGATCAGAGGTCCCAGGATCGGCCCAAGCTGAGGTCCCATGAGGAACCAAGCCAAAGCGGACGCACGGCTTGCAGGCTCAGTGATGTCGGCTACGGTACCAGCTCCAACGGAGAAGACGATGCATGATCCGAATGCTTGGAAGATACGGAGAATGTATAGTAGCCAGATGTAAGCTGGAAGTGTAGCGAGTAACGAGTTGGCGATAAGAAAGCTTCCGAGACCGGCCATGTATACTGTCTTTCTGCCACCAACATCGGAAGCCGCTGCACCAAAGAGAGGCTAGTTGAAATTAGCAACGTATTAAGAGGACTACCTTGGGGCACCTACTGCAATGGCAAACACAACCATGTATATCGAGACTGTTCCATTGATCGCGGCCTCAGAAGCGTTGAAGATCTTCTGGAAGAGTCTGAGTGAGGGCAGATAGACTGCTCCGCAAAGTGGTCCAAAGAAGCCAGCCGCTGTAACAACACCCAGGATAAACCGTCTTCGATTAAGTGAGAATGCAGAGTAGGGCTGTGCGGGTGGTGGACAGGGTGCTAGAGGCACATCATCTGCGAACGATTGTTGTGCTTCCTCGTCGACACTGTGTCGCGAAGAGGATCTCTCGCTTTCAACGCTGTCACGACACTGGTCATAATGGTGCGATTTTTCGAACTCGATCGGCGAGCGCATGATGAAAGAAAATATGACAGTGGTAATGTCTCTGACAGTATCAGAGATGCGCTGTCCTAGATGGGAGCATACCGGGACAGTAATATGTCTGGCCAAAATGCCCAGCATAGCCCCCATACTCGGAATAGCCTACATATTCATTTTGCGCTACGCAGCACTGCCAACCTCGACGCCCTATTCTGGGCGCATTTGTTGTGCTTCAGGTGGGCCTTTGGCATAGCCCCGCTTTCAGGTTCCTTCGCTAGGAACTGCAACCTTGTTCAAAGCGAGTATTTTCGTCTCGGCTGCGTTGAGCCCCCTATCGCCAAAGGGATCTTTGGCTGCATCGCTAAGCGACCCGCCATCTCAGCCCCAAAAATCATGGCAACGGTCTGCTACTTGATCTTCAACGATCACTGCTGCTTGTTGGTGTCGGTGGTTGCACAAGCTAGTTACGTGCGTGTCCCTCCATACTCGAAATATCTGGCTGCATTGTTTTCGTCTGGAAGGATGGGGCTCTCTTTCACATGTACTTGGCATTGTACATTGTGAAAGAGTGGCTGGCTGAGCACGGTGATGCCGTTTACCATCTCGGCATGGGGTCCTGGTGAAGCTTTGTCCCGACTCGATGACATGGGAGTATGATACCGCAGAGCTAACAAAACAGGTGTATTGTCCTACTAGCGTCAGACACGGGCGACCCGAGGGGCTGGGGTAGACGTGAGGCTGAACTTCCTTAGCCCCACCCTGACTGGAAGGATCACTGTTAAACATGTACCCATACTGCGCCTCGCATACAACTCCACAAGACTAGAAGGTGATGTTACACACACAACCATCTTCTTGGTCGTGGTTTAGCATGTGCCATCATATCGACCATGTAACCAAAATACTAGCACACTGGGACAGAAACCAAACATAGCGGCATGGGCCCGCCTGGCCAGACAACATGGCGTATGCATGTGCATAAGAGTTGATAAGACTGGGATAAGTGGTTATGACATGTCACGGGATGAGATTCTTATCGACTCAGAAAGCTGCACTATGTCGTGGTCAAACCCAGTGGTCCAGATAAGTCGTCAGTCTGCAGCAAATAAGCGCAATAGTGCTTAGATACGGACACACCAGTGGTCAGCAGCTGAGAAGTTTCAGCAAGCCATCATGCAGAATCTTAGCGGCGGCTCGAATGCTCGGCAACCGCTCTTCTTTACTTTTGGCCTTGTTCATTAACGCAAAAAAAAAGAACTTGCAGTTTATCGCGTCGCGTAAAATTCGACTCCTGAGATTGGCTTCTAGTGAGGGGTCAATAGTTATAGATATACAGCGCCTACAAACTTGGTCTGCTCTTCCATATACTACTGGTTCACCCCGTCTTTCTGTCTGTCTCTAGACACAGGGGGTAATGCGTGTGTCAGCAGCAGACATTTGCAGATCCTTCTGATTAACATCTCCTCTGCCACTCGGAAACTTGACCGACAGCAGCGCCATGCAGATTTTCAGTGCTATCTTGTATACGGTCTTTGCAGTCTGGACCAATTTCGCTAGTGTACGAGCGCCGACACTGCTAACTTTCCCAGCAATTGTCATGGAAACGTGTAGTCCGGCGACCCCTCCTTGCCCTAGCTTTTCAGGATTCCAAAGTACAGTCACACAAATTTTACTGCCCCTTTGATTCTTCCTATTCGTATCATTGAAGGAGTAAACAGTCTCGGGAGAATAAGTCGTAAGCAAGTCACGTGCGCAGATGGAACGCCTGACTTTAGGCGACCACGTTACATGGAGGTCATATTCTTCCATGCTGTTATGCCGAAATTGCATTTGCTTACTTTGGTTCCCCACTTTTCTCTTTGGTATTAACATGCATTTGTCGCCGAACTCCACAGTAATCGGCGTCCTGATTTGAAATGCCGGGAAGGATTCACAGCGGGCCAAATGTGACTCAATCAGTTTTTTTGTGTTTGCCTGGTTTTTTGCTGTATTGGAATTATGCTGTAGCAGTAGCAATGTGGGTGAGTTTTTTGCATGTTGTGTTGGCTCGGCGCAATCCTTGTCTACTCGTAGGCTGATAGCTCAAGAAGATCTTCTTGACAAGGGAGTAACTGTAGCAAACAAACAACACAATTCAAGTAGAAGCGGATGATAATGGATCAAGACCGTATTGGATGCAGTATGTAATTTGAATTCTCTGAATAAACACCAAGCGCTATGCAAACCCATTTCACACCTTCTCTGATCCATGATGCACACTTTCAAACTTCAGCTTCAACCCCCGCGGGTACAACGGTCCCGCAGGTGTCATCCTCCCATCCCAAGTCTCGTCCAACTTCCACCTAACATCCCTCACCAACTGCACCAGCGTAATTCTTAACTGCTGCATCGCAAACTTCTGACCCAAACACGCTCTTCTTCCACCGTGAAAGCTAATGAAAGCGCTCTTGGAGTTCGCGCGACGGTACAACTTATTGATATCCTCGTTTGTAGTACCCCAACGCTCAGGTTTGAAGTCATCGGCATCAGTGCCCCAGAACTCCGTGTCTCGGTTTGTAGAGTATGCGTTGTATCCCATGTATACGCCAGCAGGAACGGGAACCGCGTTGCCCAGAACGACGGGGGTTGTGGTGCGGCGATTGATAAGCTGTGAAATAGGCGGGAACATGCGTAGAGACTCGTACAGCACCGATGTGAGCAGGGGGAGATCGTGGACGTCGGAGTACTCAGGCTCGTAGTCTGCAGGCGCGTTGCTTGGGTAGAGAGCGGCGATTTCTTTGCGGACGGCTTCTTGGACATGAGTATGTTTGCCGAGGAGGTACATGAGCGACATGAGAGCTAGCTGGGGGTTCTCGTGCCCGGCGAGAAAGGTGCTGACCAGGTTGTCGTCGAGATCTTTGTCACTAAGTATGCCCTCGCGATGAGAACCAAGCAATCTGCAGGCAACATTCTTGTTATCGTTCTCGTTGCACACATGTTGGGTGTGGCCCTTAATTATGGCGCTGCGGAGTGTGCTGCGAAACTGCCTGCTAAGAACACGACCAAGCTTCCGTATCTTCAATGGCAGGTGGTCGAGGAAAGGAAAGTTTAGGAAGATTGGGTGGAATATTATGGGCTTGATTTTCGTTTGCAGCGTGTGTAGAGGGGCACTTGCATGCTGCAATGTTTCGAAGCTGGAACCATAAAGGACCTCTCCGAGGTTGGCAAGCGCATATCGGTGAAGCAAGGCGTAGACTGGAACTCCGTTGCCTCTATTGTTTTTGGACTCGCTCAGGAACATATCTTTGAGAATCCTGGAGTTTTTCCAGATGCACTCAGAGTCCTGATCAGCTTGCAGAGCTGGTTTAATGACGCGTTGGTAAAGCTTCCATTTTTCGCCATGGGCGCTGATGATGTTTTCGCCTGTGTACTCAGCAAGTACGCTGTGTGGGATCTTGACCTGGTTGCCCGACTTTGCGTAGGTGTCTTCTTGCTTGAAAACCTCTGCTACGTAGGTAGGCTTCGTCACCAGAATGTTCCACTGTCCACCGAAGAACAGCTTCACTGCGCCATATCGCGCCAGAGGCTCCTTGAGGTATTCCCGATATAGCTCAGCTTGATCGACATCTTTGAAAAGAGGCAAAAGCCCGTAGTAGAAAGGGATTGTTGGGATATCCTTGGGAAAGTTGCGAGGTGGTGTAAACAGGTAAACGAAGAATGTGAATACACCAAAAATGGTAGCAAATGCTCCCACAAACACCAAAGAAAGATAGGAAACCATGGTGCTGAGATGATGAGCTCAGAAATGTAACACTCTTCAACTACTGCTTTGATAGAGCATATATGAAACCCATAAACAATGCGGCTACCATCTTCAGCCCTACATGGGGGCGGTGCTCTCTAACGAAGGCGGCTGAAGCGAAATGCGCGAATGCACAACCCCTGTATGTCTCTAAGCCCCATGCACCTACATTTAGATAATAGGGAGCTTCTGATGGTAAAGTTGGAGGCGTTGAACAAGGCTTGGCATTTTTTGGCCAATGGTTCGCCGTATAACTAGCAAGGGTGAACATCCTCTTTCTCAGGCTTGCTGCCAAGGGCCGCTAACGTCTTTACGGGCCTGGGGGTCGTTGTAGCGCTGCCACGACCACCCAGCTCATGTCCATGCCGCATAGTCACCAGCTGAATCCCACTGTAACGTCTGCGCCCATACCAGACGGCTGGCCTTTGCCTACCGCTTCGCTCCAGCCGCCCCTGCTAGCATCACAATGCACGCCAAGTGATGCATCCTGGGGGCACCGCAGGAGCAAAGCATGCAATAGTCCAGCGCACTGCCTCCCGATACGCCCAACGAAGCGGGGAATTTCTGAGCTGACTCTGTGTAGCGAGATTAGAAGCTACTGTAATTAGCGTTCCAGTCGGTGTGTGGAACGCACGATGGGTGGCTTGCCTAGATGCCATCCGCAGCACGCCGATTGAGCTTTGACAGTGTGGAGCAATGGCCTTTGCAATGCTTGGAAACATGCTTTGCATCTCTTTGATATATAGAAGCCAACAGGTTGGTATTGTGACACTTGAACATCCAACCTTCACAACAGTTTAGCCACTCAAGCCACTGGCATCTTCAATTTCTTATTTCCTTTGTCCAATTTCACCATCATCCCTACTTCAGTAGAAGCTTCTAGCAACCTATCTTTAATTATTCACAATGGCGCCCCTTAACAAGTCCATCAACACTTATCACTGCATCCAGGGCCTGTACTGGAGAGATGCTTCAGGCGAACTCCTAGCTGTCGAAGGAAGCAATTCAAAATCTCTCCCTGAGATATGGACACAACTCAAAGACATTGTATGCGCCACTGACGCGTCGTGGAATCAACTTCAGTTACCCTCTGGCAAAGCCATCAAGACTCTTCAGATCAACGCCAGCATTCCAGCTCTTCTAAACATTCGCTCAAATTTCCCACCATCATTTCAACAAGAAGAACTCAACACACAAGTGTCCGAGATCCAACACGCAAATGGCCTGTTTTTGGGCATTCTTACTTCCAGGCCAAAGTCTGTCAAAGTCGATGGCTTTGGGATATGGGCAGAGCGCTTCGTCCTCCTGGAGACCGAGTTTCAACCATTTGCTCACATCTCGACATCAGCCACACCATGGGCTCAAAAGCACCGCGAGACCTGTGCAGTCATTGCCGAAATCTTCGAGCGGAGACTCAAGAACATCTCCAAGGATGACCAATGGCATGTGTGCGGTAAAGAGGTGTTCTTGAACCGTGTCTACGGATATGTCGACAAGAACCTTCCGATCCAACTAGCCCTACCTGCCTTTCCTTGCAAGTCGCCGAATCCAAACAAGGCCGGCGGTATCATGCCAGATCTGGCTGAGCACATTGCCATGGATGCGCTTCACGCCTTTGTGCAAGAGGTGAACAGCGTGTATGCACCGGGCGCAACCATGTGGGTTATCAATGACGGCCACGTCTTTTCCGATTGCAGTAAGTCTCGTACTCAACACTACATCTCAAGATCGAAACTAACCAAGAGCAGTTGGAGTTGACGATGAGATGATCGATACATACGATGCCTGTATGGCAGCGATATACAAGGAACGATACCCAGAAGACGCTGGCCCTGTCCCCGCCATCAAATTCAAGGGCCTAAAGAATATATTTGCGGCCGACTCTGATGGCTTCCTGGGCCTACAGAAGCTACTTCAAAACTCACACCAGATGCCTCATCCTGTCAAGACGAAGCTCACTGGTGAAGCTGAGCTCTGTCGCAAACTGATGCTCGGCATCGGAGGACCCGACCGCGCATACATCCGCCAGCTGATTGAGCAGCAAGAACCTGATGCTCTTGGACTTTACCGAGGCCAGACACGTTTCATGCTCGAGGATTTGGCTGATATCCCGTCAGTCAAGTCTATGAGCGGCAAGCAAAAGAAGAAGACGGCTGCTCTTGTAGCAGAAGAGATGATGTCTCGAAACCAAGCATACTCCAACCTGACAGAGCTCCTCCTTCCAAACTACGTTCGTCTGTCGATTCACGCACATAACAACGCGGGTCCCAAGTTTGCCATTCGTCTATTGCCAGCAGACAAGGTACGCGCAATCGACTCGCTTGAGACGTGCCTCGAGCCCAATCCCGTGTACGAATACCAGCTCCCAACACCCTGGCACAACTGCATGATCAAAGTGGAAGGCGATGAGTTCATGTACCTCGCCAAAGCCCAAGTAGCCAGGAAGGCTCTACAAACCCCAGGTTTCGAAGGCTCCTGGGTAGATGGGCCCGATGGATCATACTTCAGCCTAAAGCGCAAGTCAGCCGAAACAGCTGGCACCATTGCTCCTCCCAAGCTCATCATTCCCGGAACTACATCCATGGAAAAGGTCAGCGTCTTCAACCAGAACAAGAAGAGCACCATTGTCCTCGTCACACCGATCCACGAGAAGCAGAGGCCAATCATTATCTGCTCGCCGGTTGTGGGCAAGAACAGCCCCATCGTCGTTACTTCGTCGGCAGGCGAGGGCCAGCGACCCATTGTCGTCTGCTCGCCCATCAGCCGCAGGCAAGCCATGTTCTCCCCCATTGCCGATAAGATGCGCTCGCCCATTGGCTCTCCTATCGTACGCAGGAAGACACAGGTCATTGCATGCGATCCTGCGGCCGAAAAGGGCGCTGCGGTAGCTGTTTCGCCCGTGGAGACTGGATCTCTTGCGCGACAGGATACGCACTTTGTTCAGCGGGGTGAGAAGAATAAGCTGCGTAGGTTTCTTCCTGTCATCAGCATGATGCGGTCCATTCGAGCGCAAGCGTAAATTGTACTGGAGATTTCTTTTGTAAGGAATTTTGTTGTTTTGGTATTATTTTGTTCTTCTTTATGTTGTTATAGTTACTTGGCTAGAATTGAATGGTCATTCACGTAATAGTATGTACGGGGGAAACTATGTCGGGCGTTTGGCGCAAGGATAGTTTTGAGACACTTTTTTTCTTCGAAAAAAGCTCATCGGAAGGCGGCTTGCACTTTGCTATACCAATACCAATATCTCTTTTCATCATAACTTTTGTTCTAGACTTTGCGAACGAATCGTGATTCCTATGAAGTACAAAGAAGAATGAGACAAGACGATGTTCTTAGCCAGGCTAACCCGCTTACTTAGCTTTATTCGCATTCCACGCCTTGTATGCAGGCCTCTCGCCTATTTGATTAAACGCCTTCCTTCGCGCAGAAACTTGCGCAATTCGGCGCGATTCTAGCCTCTCATGATTGTTAGATATATGGACATATGTCAAGTACCCAAAACTGCATTGTCACATGAGCATGATGGAGTTATTAAGATTGAGCATGGGTTGGACGCCTTGTTCCACCTTGTTCTGATTCTAGCTGTCATTCGTAGACTACAGGGTTCTTGCCAAGAGGAAAATGTTTATTTGAATTAGAGCAGATGAATACATTGGATGCTGACACCGCTCAGGAAATATAAGCAGGGTTGAATGCGCACATAAAGAGTCGGTGCCTGTTGAGGTCTAGCAGTTCAAGTACCAGTTCCCAAACTCACTCATCGACATTCATCCTCGGACCCAACTTTTCACAATGAGCTTCTTGCAGGGGTTAGTTTCCCTTTTTGGGATACAGCTCACCATGGTTGCAACAGGTATGTGTTAACTATCAATATATAATAGCACAGCACACTGACATAAAGCAGCGTCAGGCGCTAACGTACCACGGACTTATGGTTTCGTCCTATTCCGCATGTTTGACATGCTCGACTTGTACGGGCCATCTGAAGTCCTGCAATTCATTGGTGGATCATACCATACCAACATTGTCTACATTGCCGAGACTCTGGACCCGGTAACCACGCGGCCCGCACTGGCAGCTATGAATCCGTTGAACTCATCAGTTTACCCGTCTATAACACCAACACACACATTTGAGACTGCGCCGGAACTCGACGTGCTGGTTATACCTGGTGGACCTGGATGGCGCAACCCAACCACGCTCAACGCTACCATGGAGTATATCCGTAAGACGACGCCAAAAGTACAGCAGGTGCTTACCATCTGCACGGGCTCGGCACTCGCAGCGCGTTCGGGTATCCTGAACGGCAAGAGGGCGACTTCGAACAAGTCGTCGTGGTTATCGACGGTGCAGAATAACCCAAACACGACTTGGGTGCCGCACGCGCGATGGGTCGAGGATTACTCGAGCTCACCGCCCATCTGGAGCTCGTCGGGAGTCACAGCGGGTATCGATATGATGCTTCACTGGGTTGAGAAGACTTACAATGCAGAGAACGCAACGAATATTGCTCGCTTCATTGAGCACGTGCGTATCATGGATCCGAGTATTGATCCGTTTGGTAGAAACGAGACAGTGAGTGAGTAGGAAAGCTTCTTTGCTCACATGTATATATTCGGTCATGTACCTGGTCATCAAAGTGAACATATGGAGTCGTCGATGTCTAGAATGTCAACCATGTCCGATTCTTTACTCGTGAAGCGACTCGAAGCAAGCACTGTATAGGTACTAATTTTCCCCATGCCGTATGCACCTTGCATCCTCTATATTCGGGTGCCCCACTCCATGCATCGCTTCCAAACTGCTGGGAATGCGCCTCTATCGCACTTGCAACATGCACTTCATCTATCACACGTGTGGGGAGAGTGTACACTATCCCAGCACATGCAACATTCGTGGACTGATCCCCACTCTGCCCCTGTCCATGCCACCAATCACTAAGAAACCCAACAAGTATGCAGAATTCGACAAGAGTAAACCCCCTTTGACTGTCTAAAGGGCTATCAAGACAAGATCGCTCGTGGATGCGTGAAACATGCTCACCTGGAAACCTTCTCATCTGCATGAGCAGCTAGACCGCATCTGGCAAGGCGGGCTGCGCGGTGAACATGTTTCTGGGATTCTAAGGATGCTTAGAATGAGGGGGGGAAGTGGGAAGATGCTACGAGTCTCGGTAGGCGGTCAGGCGATGCGGTGGCACGAGATAAGAGTGAATAGGTGGAAAGCAGTAAAAGTAGGCGCTCGTGTAATACTAAGCACACATGTTGTGGTTCGCGAGGTGAAACTCTTTCCCTCTCCCCCAACCACCCTTGCCGCGCTAAACAATGTGGTGCCCTGGGACAGGCTACGAGAAGCAATGACGAGCAAGTATAAAAGTACCGACGTTCTTGCGACTTTTTTTGCTTTTCAGCCATCTTGTTTCTTCTTCAAGTCGTTGATTCTAGTCTTACTTTCCTAAATTTACATACTACACACGCACACAGAAACTATAAAGCGTAAATCATACAAAAGTGCAGGCAGAGAAGAGGCAAACGTACATCGATCCCTGCACTTTCCCTTTGGATTCACCCAATCTTACCGATTATTGTTTCCCACTTGAAGCCCGCACCTTCGTGCGCAAAAGTGCTCGCGGAAAAGGCAAAAAAAAGAAGAAAACTTGCTCGTGTATAATCTGTGCACGTCGCACCCACCGCCTTCTCCCTCGAGATATATCTCCTCCGCACCTGGTCACTATACCCCGTTCGCTCACTATCCGTGATCGAGACGTCTTCCGACTAAGCACTTCCGACCAATACTACCTCGATCCCGAAGCGAGCAAGACAGCCGATATAGACATGTCAATGGCCACGCCAACGAGCGCCAGCATGTCAATGGGCATGGCGACAATGAGCAGCATGGCACCCATGGCTACCTCGTCGGCAGCCATGCACGACATGGGCGGCATGGGAATGGGAAACGGATGCAAGATTAGCGTACGCAGCACCTCTCCCTCCAACTCTCTTACAGGCAGAGTGTAGTGCGAATGACTAACTACTGGCGCGTAGATGCTGTGGAACTGGAACGTGGTCGACGCATGCTTCATCACCAAGGCGTGGCACATCCGATCCAAAGGCATGTTCGCGGGCTCGTGCATCGGCGTCATTCTGCTCGTTATCTTGCTCGAGTTTCTGCGTCGGGCGGCCAAGGAGTACGATCACTTTATCGTAATGCAGCACAGCAAGACACTTGCGTCGGATACCGCGGCCCTCTCGTCGGCATCGTCTGCGGACGGCATCGCTCCAGGTACAAGCAAGAACCCCGGACCGGTGGGGACGGCGAGTCCAACAATGGGTGGTGGGGTAAAGGCCAAGTTCAGGCCGACGATACTGCAGCAAGCAGTCCGGGCACTACTACACACTTGCGCATTTGCAGTGGCCTACTTTGTCATGTTGTTAGCCATGTACTACAACGGGTACTTCATCATCTGCATCTTCATTGGGGCGTACATTGGCTACTTCATCTTCGGCTGGGAGAGCTTCACGGTCAGCAAAGGCGGCGATGATCGCATGCAGGAGAATGCCACCGTGTGTTGTGGATAGGGTTGACACAGTGATATGGGCAAGAGCGATTGATGGCAGCACATGATGGTGAAATCAAGATGGCTTAGAAGATAAATCAAACGTTCGGATACACAAATATTACGATGAAAAAGTGATTGTATTCATGGTCTCATATCCGTTTGACTTGATCTCATCCTAGTCATACAATGCTAATTACTTGTACATTGTCTGCATTGATTGCCACGACACAGTGTTTGTCTTGACGAGACTGTCTGGAAAGTGTATTAGCAGGCCGTCCCGCTAGTACAAGCAGTCTGTGATGCCACTCACGGAGTCGTAGGTCTTGTGTTTGCGCACTCGGCTCATGGAGCCAGTGGCTTATTTGCCCTGGGAGAGTTGTTAGCATGTGAATGAAATGGAGAGTAGAGACAAGGGTGACGACATACGGGGCATCCATCACAGCTGCAGGTGGAGCCGCAGTTGCAGGCACCAGAAGCACAGCCGCAGTTACCCTTCATGTTGATGGTGGTTTTGGTTGGTTGGTTGGATTGGGTTGAAAAGAGGATTGACGGTGTTGAATGTTGGCTTGAGAGGCTTTGAGAGTTTGATTGTGTGATGAGAAGAAGCAGAGAGACGAGGTGTCGAGGGAAATCTTATATACCCAAGGCATGCGCGACTTGTGCGGGCGTGCCAATGCAGTGGCGGCTTTCCCTGACCAACGGGCCACGCCTGCCCCGCTCCCGAGCCCTGAATTGCCTTTCCAGGTAACCCCACTGACCGGCCAATCCCGGGCTTGTGATTGGCCTGCGCGCTTTGTGCGGTGGTTAGTGTGGGGTGAGGCACTTGTGCGTCTTTCTAGCCCTCCACTGCCCTCCACTGCTCTCTGCCCTACCCTGCGCCACTCGCCTCAACACGCAGAAACAGTGGGGGCGCGCGCTTTGTGCGGATTCCAGGCCATGATGTGCAGCCACCCGTGGTACACTACGTACTCTACCACTGCGCCTTGCCCCCCATATCACCCCTCACTGCAGAACCTGCGAGAGTCCCCCTTCCTCTCCGGCCTGACTGCACCAAAGACCCTGTTTTCCCACATAGAGCAGACTACGTCTCCATTGCCAACCGACGCCGATAGCGGCCCAGCCGGCTCGAGCTCGAGTCTATCTGTGTAACACAAGGCTCGGGAACACTCCACAAATAGCTAGTATCCATGGCCGAGCTGCGAGCATGTGGGGTTTACTAGTAGTTGCCTGGATTAGCACCAACACACCCTATTCCTTCTCAACCCACAATCAAAGCCCCAGAGTCATCAGCCAAGTGTTGGTGGCCAATCGTCTCCTGCAAGGATAATGACAAAGTATATCGTGTCATCAACTATGTACGAGCAAACTCAAGCCGAATGCCCAGACAAATCATTCTCCTCATGTAGCTGACACTCATGCCTGATGTCACTGGTTGTACCTCTATGCCCACTTATCGCTACACTCATCCATGGGCAAAGCTCCACCCCGAGTATCATAACACCGCTCAGCAACGACTACATGTCTACTGTAACTCATACCATTCAGCCGTTAAATTTACCGCCGCAGTAGACACAAGCATCGCAGGCGAGGAACAGCACCCGTCCTAGCGTGACAGGAAGCTCCCTTTCTTCTTCCTCTTCCTCCTCCATTTCCTCATCTTCCTCATCCTCCCCATCTTCTTCACCATCCCTGTCCTGTTCTCCACTTACATCATTGCCCTGCTCCAACCTTTCTTGTCCCTTTCCGTTTTGCGATCCGCCCACCTCCTTCATGGCGCCATCCTCTGCAGCATCCTTGCTCTTCTTTTCCACACTCTCCTGGGCTATGACATACTCGTCGCTCAAGAATGGTGTGCTGCAGATACCACAGTACTTTGTGATACCGGGTGCCTGGATGGCAAGAAAACTCAATCCGCATCTTGCAAATTGATGCCCGTTCGTGCATGAGGCTGACGTCAAGTCGGTGAATGGTATCGAAGCAGAGCAAAACTCGCATCCCTCCCCCCATGCGGCCACAGCCTCTTGTCGCGAATCACTGGCATTACCATTGATCTCAGTACTGACCGTTCGAGACTCATCAGTACCTGAGGCACCGGACTCTATGCAACTCTCGCTCTCTGAAGAGCCATATCCCATGACCACATTGACAAGCTTGATGAGCTGTTCGTGCTGAGCCACTATCTCCGCGCTCAAGGCTGAATTCACAAGTGACACCGGAAGGCTGTGTACTGCATTAGCAAGACGATACGCTATTAGCGTTCTCTCGAGCTCATGTGATGTCCCGGTCTTGCAGGCTTGGGAGACGAGTATCGTATATCGGTCTTTGAGTGTATGCGACTTGAGAAAGGCCATCATCTTGAACGCTTTGATCAGTGAGTTCAAATCATCTACGTCAGCGTACAGACGAACCCTGTCTGCATAATCTTCGGCAACGCGGGGGGCCGGATACGTCCTGGTAAGCTTTTGCACAATCTCCTCAGCAAAAGCAGGCATGTCGTCCTGATCCTCAACCATGTCCTCTGCCAGCTTACGGATCGTATAGCTAACTCCTTCTGCGCTGACATTGGCTTTGGGGAAAGCCTCCCGCTCCTCGCTGCTATTTCGCAAAGAACTAACGGCAACCGTTCCACTCCTATCCGCAGGTATACCATACTCGATCATGTTGGATGGATGCACGCTATTGCACGCTGCAATGAAATCGCCTAGTGGAGATTTTGACAAGCCCCAAACCTTGGCCTTGCTATTGCCCTTGAGCCCATTTTTAACGCTGAATAGTGCAATGTTATTTTCAATCTTCTCTCGCCAGCTTGGGTTACCGAGGCTTTCGAAACCCTCGGGGGATATCTCAAGGGCAGATGTCTGATTGTGCAAAGTTGAAAGCAATGAGCTTAGATGCAAACGACATGTCGAGTCATCAGGAGTATCCCACACCGCGCCGGAAATCTGGTCCCATCGCCCGTCAAGACTGTGGGTCTTTGTTTCAATAATAGAACCGTCGTAGGCAGATATGGTAAGACAGACGAGCCCCGAATTTGTGAAAAGGGCAAGCTTGAGTCGATTTCCGTCTTCAATCTTAGGCGACCATTTCATTGGGCCTTGGTATCGCAATTCGCATCCAGGGTACACGACTTCCTTCTCCGTGCATATGTCATCAGGCCGATGCTTAATGACTCTTGCCCGCACGTCTTCGTTCGTAGCGTACACAACCACCGAACGGTAGCCATCGTCAAATAGAATCCACGGACTCCAGGCGATATGAGATATGTACCGCTGTTGTTTCATCACATCTTCAAACACACGTGGTTCCGAGAAGATACTATCTGGGTTTGATGTCAACGACTCATGAGCTAGAACCTCCGCTGTCCAATATCGCCCAACCCCTAGGGTAGAAGTAGGCGATTCGACTGCCACAAAAACCAGGTGGTTGTCATCGTTGGAAACAGCTAGGAAGTGTCGAGAGTACATGAGACTAGTCCCAATGATTCCAGTTGTTTCGGACAAAGGCAGAGCAGGTGCCCACGCAAACGCCCGAATGCGGCTTCGCAAGCGCAGCTGTTCTTTGGGTGATACCGTCAAATGGCTAGGTTCGTCATCACAGCCGCTAAAATGCTCAGCGAGCGCATCATTGATGATGAGCTGCCGGGACCAGCTTGATTCATCTTGCGGCTTACCTTCGGCTGACCAGATAGAAAGGGTCAGGTTCGTGGTAAGAACGCCAAGAGCGCATTTCCGATGCTTTGCAAGTCCCTGCGGTGACCATGCGATACTGAGAGGAGCGCTATTGGATATTTCCTCGCCAATAGAGTAGTTGGATAGTGGCGCGAGTTCTTTGAGTGGCAGCTCGTCAGTTGAGAAAAGAGGTACTTTCAGGGGAACATGTTGCCACTGTGGAAGAACTTGGTCCCTATCAAAATCGACGGTATTTGGAAACTACAAGACCATCAGCGGGTGTTATCTTGAGGTCTCTTTTCCCAAAGAAACGTACAAGTAGCTCCACACGTTCGTCAGACGCTAGTGCGATAATGCCGTCTGGGGACCAGTCAATCGCATCAACGCATGCTGGCCAGCACCTGAGCACCGTCACGTTCGACATGACCGCTTACAAAACCTAGAAATTGATCCTTTGCGTAGTAGCCTGGTAGTGGTCATGACTTTTGGTAGCGAAGAAATATAAACAAGGTCAGCTAGCGCATGGTCACTCAGCCTTTTCTCACTAGTGGCTAGAGTTGTCGAGAACAGAAAAGAAAGCTCTAGTCTAGAGACGATATTTAGTCTAAATCGCCGCACATATGGGCAAGATCATGACGAGGCGCAGAGACGCGAGATTTCTGTTCAGGGTCGCGTACTTGGACAATTTAGACTAGCGCGTGTCTTATCGATTGGAGCTAATGCCGACCGCCGACGAAAAAAAGTGATTTTTCCACCTTCTTTTGCTGCTCCAGCACGAATAGCATTGCGCATCGACAAGATGGGTAAACGACCAATTTCCGATGTTGTCGCCGAAGATGGCGCGATCACCGTCCCCGAAATCTCAAGAAAGAAGAGCAAAAAGGATAAGAGCAAGAAGCTCAACAAATCCGCCCCCGTCGACGCGATAGAGACCAATGGCCACACCGACGAAGTGACGAACGGCAAGAGCGCGGACGACTCAGAGGACGAGGACAAGCTGTCAAAGGCCGAGCGCAAGGCGGCAAAGAAGGCCAAGAAGGAAGCCAAAGAGGCGAAGAAGGCTAAGAAGGCGGCAGCAGAGGCTGAAGTAAAAGGCTCTAATGGCGCTGTCGCAGAAGACGAGGAAGCCATAAAGGCTGCGGAAAAGGCTGCGCGCAAGGCAGAGAAAAAGCGCCTGAAGGCGTTGGCTAAGGGCGAAGAAACTGCCGAGTCCACACCCTCAACAACATCCCCACCAACCACCACTACCGTGGAGTCCGCAGCAACAAACGAGACAAATGCAGCGCCAGGACAATACGAGGAGAGCAAGGAGCTGACACAGCTTCCTCAGTCAGAGATTGATGCTTTCCTGGCTAAGAACACCATGACCATCCAGGACCCCAAGCCTACTGGCAATAAGCTGCGTCCCATCTTGAACTTCAAGTATTTGCCTGTCGACGATACGCTACGCGCCTTTTTCTCCAAATTTAGCGCACCTACGCCTATTCAAGCAGCCACATGGCCATTTTTGCTGGCAGGAAGGGACATGGTTGGTGTAGCCGAGACTGGCTCCGGCAAGACGTTGGCATTTGGTGTGCCTTGCGTGCGCAACATCGCCGCATTTCCCAAGGACAAGCGGAAGGGTATCAAGGCCGTCATTGTCTCGCCTACTCGTGAGCTGGCGGTCCAGATCTACGATCAATTGGTAGCCCTGGCGACACCTGTCGGACTTTCAGTCGTCTGTGTTTACGGCGGTGTACCAAAGGACCCGCAAGTTGCTGCTTGCCGCAAAGCACATATCGTTGTTGCTACACCGGGTCGTCTTAACGACTTGATTAGCGATGGTTCTGCGGATCTCAGCAAAGCCGAGTACGTAGTCCTTGACGAGGCCGATCGTATGCTCGACAAGGGTTTCGAAGAAGCAATCCGACAGATTATCTCGCAGACGCCCAAGAAGCGCCAAACGCTCATGTTCACCGCTACTTGGCCGCCTTCAGTTCGGGATCTTGCGTCTACGTTTATGAGTTCGCCGGTCAGAATCACCATCGGCGACAATCAGTCCGGGGAACTCCGTGCCAATGTGCGCATCAAGCAGGTGGTCGAGGTTGTAGATCCCCGCGCCAAGGAGCAGCGTCTTTTGCAACTGCTCAAGCAATATCAGTCTGGCAAAAACAAGGAAGATCGCATTCTGGTATTCTGCTTATACAAAAAGGAAGCAGTGCGCATTGAGAACTTCATTCGCATGAAGGGCTTCCGCGTAGGCGGCATTCATGGCGACTTGAGCCAAGAAAAGCGCAGTGCGTCACTTGCGGCGTTCAAAGAAGGCCATGTGCCGCTGCTCGTGGCGACGGACGTGGCTGCACGCGGACTCGACATTCCGGCCGTCAAAGTAGTCATCAACGTCACGTTCCCGCTGACAGCTGAAGATTACGTGCATAGGATTGGTAGGACAGGTCGCGCTGGAAAGGAAGGCCTGGCTATTACCTTGTTCACCGAACACGACAAGGGGCTTTCTGGCTCGTGAGTCACCCCCACCACCCCTTCTTGCAATGTGTCAGCAATATGAGAGGCGTAAGCTGACAGATTTCTCGCAGATTGATCAATGTGCTCAAGGCAGCGAACCAGCCCGTGCCAGAAGAGCTGATGAAGTTTGGCACCACAGTCAAGAAGAAGGAACACGGGGCGTATGGAGCCTTTTACAAGGACACGGAGAATGTCAAGGCCGCGACGAAGATTACTTTTGACTAGAAGCGTTGATCTTCAGCACCGCAAATGCTGTGTATGTGTGTGTATCAAAGTTTAGTATGGTTGACAAGCGAGTTGGTCGGCGAAGTGTTAAGAAATGCGGTCATCGACTTTTACATGGTACATAGATACTAGAGCATTGATCTAGCGTAGGCCTCTCGGACCAAGAGAAGTTAAAATTCCCCGATGTTGTCCGTATGTAGTAGATGGTGGAGATGCAATCCATTTTAACTTACTATACTTTCGTCTAGCTTTGCATACTTACTAACTCTCGTTGACGATTTCCATAATTTCATGCCTTTGCACCTGAACTACAATACAGGAAATCTTTCGGGAGTTAGCATGTATGTATATAATCCATTACATACCTCCCTTCTGTCTCATTCTCCAAGCTCCACAAGCCAAAAAGAAAAGAACAATCCCCCTGCGAAAAACTAGGTTCAACTTAAACGCCTTACCCGTAGGCTAAACCTCTGTAGTCGGCAACAGAAGGGGGGGGGGGGAGTAATACGAGACGAGAGTCTAGAAAGAAGAAGAAGAAGAAGAAGAGAGGGAAAGAGGGATAGGGGTGGGTATGTGCGTTTCAAAAGGGTAACATCGCCGAGTTTGTAGTCGGCGACCAAAAAAATGTCGGAGGAAAGCGCATGCGGGCCAATCACTGGGGCGCGCCCAAGAACCAAAGTTGCGGTCTTGGGGCGTCCGGGTGTGGAGGGCGACCCAGAGAGGTCGCCGAAGAGGATGGGTTAGGATTATGTGGGTACGCGTATGTGTGATTTCCTTGTTTACATAAAGGTGAGAGTAGAGGTATATATGAGAGGGGGTAGGGACGTGGTTGTCTTTATCTGAAGGTCTTCTTTTTACTTTGTATAGCGAGATTGATCGTCGGATTATCTACCTACCTGTATAACTACGACACTACACAAAAAAGGTGGATTGCATACCTACAACAGAATAATCACCATGTGCAAGAAAGCTTCATGCGACTCCTGCCGTACGTCTTCTCCGTCCGCTTCCCCTGCATCCCCGACAGACAGATGTGTCTTGACATGCCATCCTACCAAGGCACTGCTGACACCTTGCAGACAAGGTCACTTGGTGGGGCTGTGGAAAGCACGTTGCTGGTGTCATGGAGAGCGTTCCGTCAGAGCAGTGGTGCACATGCGTACCACGGATCGAGCAAGAGGGACAGCAATACCCGCCCAAGGGCTCTTTGTCATCGGCATGACTCCCGACGTGGTTGAGCGGGCGTAAGAATTGATGGCAGGACAACTGGTACTACTCATCAATTTCGGCCTGCTCGGCCCAAGAACAAAACCCACGCAGGAAAATTGTACACGACACGGCGTATGTAGGAGTAAAGGTGTGAAAAAAAAGGGCGTTTTCTTGGCCTTTACGGCATGATGCGGATGTTGTTAGTTTCCTTCTATGAGAAGGACTTAGCGACTTGCAATATTACAACATTACCGTTACTAGTTTCCACGAATAGTTATGTATCTGAACCAATTGATGCTTTAGACACCAGTCAGCACCCACGAAGGCACATGTGCGTATGTACTTTGATGCAAAACACTGCAGATCCGCTGGGCGCATCCGAGCCCAGCCAGGTGAGCCGGCAATAGCAGTAGCCATGTTGGACGGCGAGATGTCAGTTTGTAGCGTTTGTATAGTTCTGACAAGACCTTGCAGTCATGCTTACGTACCCGCACCAAATACATGGAACAGGGTGGTACAGCATGTGGGCTTGGTGCTCGCGGATTGTAAAGAAGACTGGGCGGAGGGTTGCACCGACGCTCCCGCCCGGGTCGATTGCCGTTTGAAACGGCTTCTGGAAAAGGCTGCGGAGCTTCGACTTGAAACAAGCATCATGTTTGTGTACGACGAGGGGCGGCGCGATACTATTCTCCTTGTGCTGTCGGAGGCGTAAGAGAGGGGTTGCAGATGCGCGACGGGAATAGGGCTAATGACAAGACGATGGATAGAAGGCTGCGACCCAGGGTGCCGGGAAGACAAGAGTCATTGTGTTTGTGATGGGGTGGTGGAGGGGCGGCCATGTGCGGGCGGAGGAGCCAATGGGTCCGGGAGAAGGGGAAGCCGCATGGTGAGGCTGGTCTCATAATGGGTCTGCTAAGTATAGGCGTTGCAGGAGTTGGTGGGAGTAGGGCGCGCAGATGAGCAGTTTCAGGTATTGGCCGTAGTGGCCTAGAAATGATAGGCAGAAGTGTCTGGCCGGCCTGGCGAAACAGAGGGAGAGGGATTACGAGAGCGAGTCGCGCAACTCACACAGTGGCTGGATCATAGGGCGGCTAGCCAAAGTCTGTTGCTGGGGCGGCAGAGTATATTTTGGACTGTATCGCCGGTCTCATGTGGTCTGTTGTAGCATGTTGGTGTTGAGTTTGTCCCTAGTTGTGGTCCTGCAATAGATGGTACCTGGCTGACCCCGCCTTCCCATCTTAGACAGCAGTGGGAGTGCGAGTAAGTAGTAGGGGGAGTAGGAGGAGTAGCAGTGGCAGCACTACCAACACCAACACCAACACCACACGCGCCATTGCGCCGCTTTGTTGACGACGCCGTGACATTCCAGAGGGAGAGACGGTGCCTCGATGCACTGTCACCACGCCTCGCGCCACCAGCCACGGAGGCAGAGGTGGTGGTAGTGGTAGTCGACAGCCACGGTCACTCCCTTTGTGCCGCTTCCCGCGTGGGCGTGTGATGGTAGAGCATGGAGCTTGGAGGGATTGACTTGGCAGGCCATACTACACACGCTGCCCCACCATCCCTCTCCCCTTTCTGTCACCGCCTCACTCGCCTCCATCTTGCGCGGGCAGTCCCAGCCAGTGCCAGAACGAAGCAGCACAGCACAGCACAGCACCTCCAAGGGCATACTACACAGCTTCAACCCTGGGCCGTCCCGCCAGTGTCTGGTAAGTCATCCATGTCTTCTCTCCTCGTCCAGAGGGGCCGACGTCGCCATTGTGCAGTGGCGCCCAAGATAACCGCCGCCGACGCCGTGCACACAGTCAATTGCTGGTGCTGATGCCATGGCCTCCGCCGCCGCCGCTTCTGCTCTGGCTGCTCGTGCCGCGCAGACAAGCACGTGGGGCTGAACTCTGTGTCTGACACAGACTCGTTTCACCATGAGCGCCCAAAGCACACCCTCCGTCTTGCGAACAATGCCTGTTTGATGACATGTACAGCCTGTGCTGACCTACAACTCTTTGCAGCTGTCTCTTCCACCTTCTACATTGTCGCCCATCTTCTTCGTCTCTTCAACCACCCCTCCGCACCAACGCAACCTCAGCCCCGCAACCACCACCACCACTACCATCACCATCTGAGCCTCCACTCGTCTGCTCATAACCCACCGCGCCCTCGCGCATCCCATCCACCACAACCGCCACCATGCCACCAGCAGGAAGCGGCAGCTCCAGGAAAATCTCCTTCAACGTCTCGGAGCAGTACGACATTCAGGATGTTGTAGGAGAGGGCGCATACGGTGTCGTATGGTACGTCTCGCCCGCCAATGGCCCACTTTCAGCCCCCTAACAACAACCACAGCTCTGCCTTGCACAAGCCATCGGGCCAGAAGGTTGCCATTAAGAAGATCACGCCCTTTGATCACTCCATGTTCTGCTTGAGAACACTGCGAGAGATGAAGCTGCTGCGCTACTTCAACCACGAAAACATCATCTCCATCCTGGACATCCAAAAGCCCCGCAACTACGAGACCTTCACCGAGGTCTACCTAATTCAGGTGCGCAAATTTCTTTGCTTGCATACGCTCTCTTTGCTAACTTGCCGTTCAGGAACTCATGGAGACGGACATGCACCGAGTCATTCGCACACAAGAGCTGTCCGACGACCACTGCCAGTACTTCATCTACCAGACCCTACGCGCCCTCAAGGCCATGCACTCGGCAAACGTCCTCCACCGCGATCTCAAGCCCTCCAACTTGCTGCTCAACGCAAACTGCGATCTCAAAGTCTGTGATTTTGGACTCGCTCGATCCGCCGCTTCGACCGAGGACAACTCGGGTTTCATGACCGAATACGTTGCCACTCGCTGGTACCGTGCGCCAGAGATTATGCTTACCTTCAAGGAATACACAAAAGCAATCGATGTATGGAGTGTAGGATGCATCCTTGCTGAGATGCTCAGCGGAAAGCCTCTTTTCCCAGGAAAGGACTGTAAGTCGCGCGCAGTGCCTCCAAATCAGCTCCTAGAAACTAACCTTTGCCAGACCACCACCAGCTCACATTGATCCTCGATGTACTCGGTACGCCCACCATGGAGGATTACTACGGTATCAAGTCCCGCCGAGCTCGTGAATACATCCGATCTCTGCCTTTCAAGAAGAAGATCCCCTGGAAGGCCATGTTCCCCAAGACAAATGATTTGGCTCTTGACCTGCTCGAGCGATTACTGGCTTTTAACCCAGTCAAGCGCATCTCAGTCGAGGACGCGCTCAAGCACCCATACCTTGAGCCCTACCACGACCCAGATGACGAGCCAGGCGCGGACCCCATCCCAGAGGAGTTCTTCGACTTTGACAAGAACAAGGACAACCTGACCAAGGAACAGTTGAAGCGTGAGTCCAGACGAGTTTCCATACGTCGAGTATAAGCTAACAGCACGCAGTCCTCATCTACCAGGAGATTATGCGATAAAAACCTTCACGTCTTTGGCCCTTGCGCGGGATTAATACAAGATACCACGATCGAGTCCATTTTCGCAGCTTATCTGCAGCCAGCTAGTCTGAGCGCATCAGCATGTGAGAAATGGCATACCATGTTCCTGTCATTTGGATTTGCAGCAGAAGAAACACATTAGCATGACAGCACAGAGGTGCGCGGATATGAGCTTAAGCTTCGAATATTTTCTATGAGCAATTTTTGTCGTCACAGTGTGAGATGACAATAAGCACACATGCATGCTTCTTTGAAAATTGCCTGGCTATTTTGGTGTCCTTGTTCACGATGCACGAGATGGTCTAACACGAAACTTGCGTATTGGCGTATCGCTGTGGTCTATAAACACCGCCCAATGCTTTCGTCCTTGATGCTAGCTATACAAGACTGGTGGCGTCCTCACTTTACAAACACAAATGATGCCCACTATCATATACACATAATCGTACACGTCGTACATGCCCGAGGTAGCTTCCTGGTTTGACCTAGAAGTCACACCTGCCATCCTTCCACCCAGTCCGCCATCTCTCTTCCCACCTCTTGCAATCAAATGTCTCCTTGCCCAACTTCTCATTGACTGCATTATGCGCCTCACACATCCACTCACCGAACTCGCTGCGGTTACTGACCCTCGGCGTGTTCTTTTGCATCCACCTTTGGAAATCTTCGGCGCACACCCAGCACGGGTATAACTTGCCAAAGGTGGAGAGGAACGACCTGGTTTCCGACTGTAGTTGAGGAGACGGGTTGGTCGGATATGTGGCGGTTATCGAATGGAGAAGTGTCCACGAAGAGCGACCGAGTGCTTCCACATCCGGTGGGCAGTCAGCGGGCATTGTGGGGGTAGTTTTGGAAGTTGTGGTGGTCGCGGTGGATTGTGTGCGCTTCGTGGGCATTTTGCCCGACATCGCGAATAGAGAAGCTACATCGTTGCAGGTGCGACATCTACAGCGTAGGCAAACTAGGTGTTAGCATTCACTTCTTCGCACATACACACGCGACAAAGGGCTATGGCGATTGCAAGGCTTGTGTATTGCCCGGCGCAATTGTTCAGCGGTACACACGTAGGTACAGAGAGAAAGACAGAAAGAAGGTACTTACGGCTTGCCGTCTGGGCCGAGTATGATGCCATTCGCCAGTTTCTTGTAACCAGGCCTTCCCTCTATATCCTTCGCCTCGCTCGTGTCCGGATTATCCTGCGCCATTGTCTTTCTCTTCTCCAAGTATCTTTTCTTGCGTTGAGCACAGCACAAATGTGGCAGCGTTAGGTCGGGCGATTTCTAAGCCCTTCCATCATTGTCGGAGCCTCGGAGTTAAGAGCGTCATGGCGGCAGCAAGGCTGATCCTTGCTCTTGGTTTCGCTTCCGCTTCCGCTTTCCAGGGACGTGACGCGATGCAACATTTTAGGAACTTAACCTGCTCATACGTTGATTGGTAGAAACATACATGTAGTGCACCACGTGCTGCCAATCTCATAATTGCTCACGCGCTTTCATTATTTTCTGCCTGTTCACAATGGACGTCCCGGTAGCTGCTAATGTACTGGGGACTATGGGAGCGGTACGTGAACCATTCTCATGGAAGGACAAGTATACTTATTAGTGTAGGTCTGTTGGTCTATTCAGGTGTGTGTAGTATATAGCTACATATCTTCTTTCCCATCTCATACCCAATAGTAATGCTGAGTATCTCATAGTTGATACCTCAAATTGTCGTAAACTACAGACGACACAATGCAACCGGACTGCAGCCCACAATGATGATGTTGTGGGCTTGGGCTGGTGTTCCCCTGGGCGTTTATAACATCGCTGAAGACTATAATATTGCTTTGCGCATCCAGCCTCAGATTCTCACTGTGCTGAGCCTCGTTACGTGGATCCAGTGCTATTATTACGAGAAGGTGACTCGAGGAGATTACTAAATTTTAATGCACGAGTGAAACTGACACCCTGCAGAACTGGTCTGTTTTGAGTTCACTTGCGGTAGTCGTCCCCATAGCTAGTCTTATGGGTGGAGTGCAAACTGGCCTCATCTTCGCCATACGACATGCTCAGCGCCAGGACCTGCAATGGCCTAGTATTCTCATGGCAGTTGCTTCGGCTGCTTTGCTTGCAGCTGGTGTTATGCGGCACTACATTGACATCTACCTCTTTCGGACTGTTCGAGGAATCTCGTTCATCTTTGTAGCTATCGATGCTCTAGGCGATGTCTTCTCATTAGTGTCCGTCTTGTTCCAACCTACACTTGACGTTCTAGGGATTGTGATTTATGGCACAGAATTGACCCTCTGGATTGGCATCTTTGCTTGCGGAGCTTATTACAACCTCTCGCCTTGGATTGTCTCACAGACAAACGGCCGGGGGAGAAGTCATGCTGTATGCGATGAAAGCGCTCGTCCTGCCGCAAATCTGAACACAGGTGAAGATGGAGCAGCAGTCGCATCTGGTATTGCGCTCCACAATCTACCTTCTAGCACGTCAGTCTTCAGAACGCCGTCGGGCAATATCGACGTCATGTCACAGTGAAGGAGGATTGCATCACACGGGACACAAATGGGCCACATACCGCGCAAGATTTCATAGGTTAGGTGGACTTCAGGTCCTTGGAATTGTCCGTTTGTTTTTTTGTTAAGCGTTTGGTAGTGATTGCAAGCTGGCTCCTGGCTCCTTCCAAGACAGACGCTCTCACCTCTCCCCACTCTCCCCACCCATACACTGCGCTCCCATTGCTCAGACCGACTACTATCAGCACATTTGTTCGCGTTACAGTCTGAGCGAAGAGCTTCATCGCGTCACCAAAGCTTCAAAACATATCGTTTGAATGTAAGTAATCACTCCTTGCTGCTCCTTTTGCTCCACCTGCCTTGATTTCTGTCCGACCAACCACAGCGCGAGTATTTCTCCGCCATACTCACAAGACGCAGCAACACTCCAGATATCGCTACTAAGACTTCAGCAATGATTTCCATCATGATGGCCAAGGCCACGTCGCTGGATTGCCAATCGGATGCTCCGTCAGCGCCCAATCCCACTCCAGTCACCGAGCCTGTCGGCACTCCGTTTGCCAGTGGGCCCGTCGATCCTCCACCAGAGATGGACTACGCCGCCGTTGCTAAGATTCTTGCTCCTATCCAGGAGTCGCTCAACGAAGCCGCCGAGGAGGCCGGTTATCCCTCCCCTCCCATCAACACACCTGTAGTCGGTTCCCCGGAGCCCTCCATCATCTACCGCAACCCTAAGACTCGCGGCCGCGGCTTTAGTGCCATCGGCGATAGACTCGCTCAGTTGAAGCTCGACAACCGCAAGCTACGTCAGCATGAAGGAGATGCGGGATCAGTCAACTATTCTCCCGAGCCTTCGGTCGCCGAAGATGAGGAGGCCGACATTGCCAGCGTTTCTGAGGCAGTGAGCGATAGCGGCAAGAACAGATACGCTCGTAGGGCTCTTGCTCCGATCAGTGTGACCGAGGGCACAGTGCCTATTGCCCTGGGCTCTCCTGCCGCCAACCCACGTATCGCTGAGTACTTGAGTTTCACCTCGGATGATTTGCCTACAAGCTCGGTTGCCCCTTGCTTTCCCTCTACCCTGATGGAGATGGGCACATCTTATATCGAGCCGGCGGTTCATGGTGGCAGCGACAGCTTGAGGAGCGAAGGCGTCACGGAAAAGAGCAACTGGGCTGAGGAGCTCGAGGACGCCGTCAACCGCGCTTTCTTGCGCCTTGAGCAGCTAGCAGCTGATGAGGTCAAGATGGATGCTAGCAAGACCTTTGAGGAGTACTACATTGCTCGGCTTGAGCGCCTGCTTGGTAGCGACAAGCGAGCAGTTCCTGTCCTTGTTCAGAAGGCCGACAAGGCAGGCAAGGTCAACAAAGCCAACAAGTAGGCAAGGCCTTGTGTACAGCATCTCCATCTTGTTTCTCTACATGAATGGTGCTCCTGGCAGGGGGATTGATAATGGGTTATGATTCATGGTATGGGAACTGGGGTTTTTGTATGAATGCGGTGCATTCGGATCATCATAGTGGGCGGCATCAGGGCAGTGTTCTATACCCCATTACACGGTTTGCTTTTTTTACAATTTCACACGGATTATCTGTACAAAACGGCGCCTTGGTAGCAGACCTGGCTCAGGAGTAATGATGCTTGCTTTTTCTTAAACTTTGGCCAAAGTACAATATCATGCATGTGACGTGACACTGATAGCGATGAGGCCTGCTAAGCACGCGATTGTCTAAAGAGAGCGATAGTACCATCCGTTCCTCACGCCAAGACCCTGCAGGATAGCCACTGTAGCCAGCGTCACGGCGGTTGGCTTGTCGTTGGATTTCCAATAAGCCGCGCCAGCGGCAGCCAAGAGCCCTGTCAAGATGGCAGCAATGCTCTTGTCATATATGTCGTACACTCCAACCTGAGACCATTTGTAATTGAGGATGCCTTGAGAAAAGTAGGATTATCAGTACGTTGATTCTCCACTCTCCATTGGTATCGCTTAATGTTATTTGATAAGAAAAGAAAAGAAAAGAAAAATACTTACTCATGATCACAAAGAATCCACTGCCTTCGTACCAGCCAATCTTGGAGGCGCCCCGAAGCACGAGCGGAAGCGTATTCATGGTTGGATGTTTGAATTGATCGAGGCCTTTCATCTGTAATCACGGCCGGAGAGAAGACATCAGATACTTGCTCGTACAATACTATTTCTGGTCCAAGGGCAAGGTTGTATTTACCGTGTGGCCTAGGGCTAGCACGCCGTAGGCTGCACTAGTCGCGAGCAGGAGTGGGTGCGATTGCGAGGTTACCGATGCCATTGTTGCGATTGACAATGCACAATTCTCGGTTTCGGTTGCTCGAGCTAGCAAGGCAATGTGCTATCGAGATGCTGTGAGGTCTGGGGTTTCTGACTTGTGATGGGGGAGGGGAAAGTGTTGCACAATTGTGTCGACGTGATGATGAAGCCGAGGTTACCTAGCGTGGACTAGTACCTATGTACGCATGGTTCCCCCACTTTTCCTCGTATTCCAGCTGCGCTGTGAGGATCTAGAGACGTGCTGATATCTTTTCTGTAACGCAATATAGTCTTTGATAAGTCTGTTGGTTGGCTTCCATAACATACAAATGAATCAAAGTAAACAGAGCGGCATGCACCGTTTCCCTCTTTCTTCGGCTCGTGCAAATTTATCATTTGCCGCTTCATCACCATATGCTCAACATGCTGCTTCAAGCACTGCCCTGTCCCTTGCGCTTGTCGGTTTCCTCTCCCGATGATGTATCATATATCTCTTTTCCCTTTGCCCGAGAATTCTCATCGTGCTGGCTCTTGCTTGGTATGGAAGGCAGGATGCCACTGGCAATAGCATCGAGATCTGAAGGCATGCATGTAGCTGGTGAGTCGTACGGTCCTGCACCGCCTTTCTCTGAGTCCAGACTGCCGACCTTCTTCTCGGCCCAAGCTAGGGCGTCGTCAACAGCAGTCTTGGCACCCTGAATCACTTCAGCGAGGAGGGTCGAAGCTCTCGAGGCATCGTCATCAGTGTCGTGTGTGCTGCGTACGGTGTCTTGTGAGGGCGAAGGTGAGTGTGTGACCGTAGTCGGAACATGGTTTGGGGTCTCTTGAGGCAGCAACTGACCAGTCAGATTAGCATTGTGTTTCGAGGAGGCGCTTATAACATACCTGCTCTCTACCAGACAAGCCAGTTGACGCTGGCTGTCTGTTTTCCTGATCTACCAATGCTTTGGCAGCCTCCAGTGCTTCTGGCCTCATCGTCTTGGATGCAAAGGCTTCGACTGCTTCGGACTTCATGTGCGGCGGCGTAGATTGTTCACGCTGTACAGGTCTTGTCAGGTGCTTGCTTGAGAGAGTGGTTGGCTGCGTGGAATTCCTTTTTGTAGGTCAGTTGCATAGGCGTGGGTAGAGCTTTGAGGATCCGATGAAGTGATGGTCTGTACATTAGCAGTAGCAGCAGAGGTAGTGGTAGCGGTAGCTCGTCTGTCGCTGTTTTGTTTGCGAGGCAGTGGCTCAAGTGTTCTTTCCTTTACCGCCAGCATGGTGACGAACTTGTCTGTGTAACACAAACAACGACAACATGATGAGCAGTACAGGCTTCTTGGATGGGAAAGGAGAAGAAAATTACTGAAGGAGGAGGAGAGGTCGCATATGCCCCATGAGATGCAGTTTGGGTCTGTGGCTGCATCCATGTGGTAGGGATGGACTTGCTCCTTGTGGGCGTAAGAGATGGTAGGCTGTTCAGCCACTGCCCCGATACAGGAAGGGATTTCCATAACCAGACAATGAGCCTGTACTTGCAGCACCATCTATTGTACATTACGAAGGCATATATCTAAAAGCAATTTTCTGGTTGGAGGGAGGCAACAATGTCGAAGGGCTTGTCTGGGTTTGCTGTCTCGGCATTGGATCTCAACAGTCATGTAGATTGCCGTTTTTTGGGGGCTTACACGGCACCGTGGCTAAAGTTTTCTAGTGCCGAAACGCTCGCTCGGATACCGTGTTCCCTCGCAACAGGGCAGCGTCTGCCGCTACTCTAGGCAAGACAGTAATCATATCCATACTTTGGCATGACCTCCACGCCGTGACCCTTGGCCGTACTCGACAGAAGCGTCCTCTGGGGGACATGCAAGTATGGGCTCTAGTCCATCGGATCATTATCGGTCTTGTACATGTTATTGCGTGACGCTACCTACATGGCCGTCAGAGTCAGGCACACCCACCCACCGGCTATTCTCCACCAAGGTCCAAGGGCCATGAGTATCTACTTGACTATGTCTACGACGCAACCTTCCGTCCCCCCACGGCGTTCTACACCGAGAAGATGGTGGTACACATACACTATACGAATACCCAAGGCATGCTCCACCAAGGGCCGCATTTCGGGAGGGTTCAGGCGCTCGATGCGCAGATCAGGATTGCTGACCCAGCGCGAGGCTTGTCCGGATCAAGGTCGCACATACCACCCGGTCATCTGAACTCCAGGCTAGGCTATGCCAAAGGAAGCAACACTGCGTCTGGCCTCGGCGGCACTAAGCATCAGGTTGCCAGTGTTGCAGGTCCGGAGGTGGATGCGCCGGAATGAGGAATGCCATGGAGGGTGTATCATGTCCGTGACTACGAGTATGGATGGATGGACGGATGGCCAAGTCAGTAGTACAGTAGATGGGATGGACACTTAGTTGGTGCATCCCAGCCAGGCGCCGTTTGACGGCTCTTACAGGCACAGGGCGGGCCCGAGGCGGTCATGGCAATATGAGGGGCGCTCCGATATGAGGAGGAGCTGCACCGAAGCTCTGTCGTGCCTATCAGACGGAGAGCAGAGGTTCGCGTCGAATTCGAGTGGCTTGGGGGCAATATGGAAATGCTGTCGACCATGTCGGGGCCGGGCGTGAATGATCAGGAGACGCAGTTTATGCAGGTCCACACTGCCACTGTTGGGTCATGGTCATGGTCATGGTCATGGCCGTCGGTGTTGGACCCTCTTTGCCAAGCGTGTAGCCGTCGCCTTCGCCTCGTCGTTGGCCACCGTGCCCATGGAGCGGCCGGCTGGGTGCGTCGTGAGCAGCGCTGGCGGGCTGCTGCCATGCCAGCCTTGGTGTTCGCTTCCCACCACTACCACCACCACAGCACCAGCTAAGCAGCAAATGACTGTGAACGGCTCCGTGCTTCCTGCACCCTTCTCTGTAAGCAGCCGATTAGCACACCCCCCTCATGCCTGCCAACCGCGCCCGCTGTGGGGAGGCGACGATACACGGTGCGCTTCCGCTGACGACTCGCCATCCTGGTCTGGGAGCATCCTCTGCCGCTGCTGTTATTGATTGTCTGAGCCGAACGTGGAGTACTTGACGCCCCTTGTCATCCCCGCATTTGCGCCGCTCATCTCGCGAGCCATGTTTTGCACCTGTGTAAAGCTAGACGGACGCGAGATTGGGTGTGGTTACTTATAATCGCTGCTGGCCCGGCCCTTTCCTGTCTTTGTTACACTACTACCTTGCTGCCGCCAGCCAGCCTGCCTACTGCCTACTGCCTACTGCCTACTACATACCAAGTACAACCCCTCCCCTTGCCTCTCCCCCATCCTACCCGTACCGCCTACCTGTCAAGTACGTAGTCTCGATATCGTGGCTGGACGCCCCAGCCCCAAAGTGTAGGACTACCCCCCGGCCATTGTCCACTCGTCCACCAATCATGGCCGCAATCACTCCTTCTCCAGAGATCAGCCCCGTGTCAGCGGCCACCACCAATGGAGGCTTTCCCCGTGACGCCTTCTGCCTCAATCTCTCCACTCTGCCAGACGCCAACAGCTTCGTGCTTAAATCCACTCTAAGATCTCCTCATCTCCTCGAGTCCCCCAATGGCTTGTTCTCGGGGAGCGGTAGTGTAAACGGTACCTTCAAGAAGCGACCCCGCAACATGTCACAATCCTCTGGTACCGACCGGGAAATGTCCAATGACACCACCCCGCCCGCACAGTCAAATGGTATCGCGCCCACCAGCAACGGTACCAACAGTGCCAGCACAGAGCCCCGCCCAACAAACAAGAAGCGCCCAAGTACCGACACAATAGACTATCCGCGGCGGCGCGCGACCATTGCGGTACATCAGCCACTTTGCTTTCATCTTGTCCCACAACCTCCCTCTGGCCCAGAAACTGACATCAACTAGTGTGAGATATGTCGGTCACGCAAGTCGCGATGTGATGGAACCAGGCCAAAGTGCAGGCTTTGTACAGAGCTCAACGCAGAATGCATCTACCGCGAACCCGGCATCAAGCTTGACGCAGGCGACAAGCTGATTCTGGAACACTTGAACCGCATCGAAGGCCTGCTCCAATCCGGTCTTACCAGTAACTTCTCTCTCTCTTCACACTCGCCCGCAGCCAGCAACTCGACCAGCGAAGATTTTCTCGCCCGCAGTACCGGCAATATACCCCATCTCGGCATGGTTCAGCCGATCAACGGCATCGGCACATGGACCAACCATCCTTCAAATATCTCGACCATGCCAAAGACCCATAATACTGCCGCGCTTAATCTGCTGTCGTCGCCAATGATCCGCGAGCTCGTTTCTCGTCAGTATGACGCCAAGATCCTTCTCCAGCTCGAGATGACTAGGGAATCGGTAAGCCTCGGAGCCAGTCGCGGGCTAGATCTCTCCAATACGGGCGCATACGTTCAAGCATATTTCGAGAGAGTCAACGTCTTCTACGCCGTTGTCAACCCCTATACCTGGAGTGCCCACTACCAGACTGCCCTCAGCCATGGATTCCGGGATGGCCCTGAAAGCTGCATAGTGCTCCTGGTGCTTGCGCTTGGTCATGCTGCAAGCACAGGCAGCATCACACAGCAGAATCCGGAGAAGGATCCTCCGGGCTTGGCGTACTTTGCTGCAGCCTGGAGCTTGCTACCCACCGTTATGACAAGGAACAACATGGTTGCAGCACAATGTCAGATCCTAGCCGCAGCATACTTGGTCTACCTTGTGCGTCCAGTCGAGGCGTGGAACGTGTTGTCGGGCGCGAGCATGAAGCTTCAGCTCTTGTTGAGCGCGCCTGGTCGCGTGTCGCCTGCCGAAGAAGAGCTGGGCAAGAGGGTGTATTGGAATGCAGTCATGATCGAGAGCGATCTGTTGGCAGAGCTTGATCTTCCTCACTCTGGTATAGCACAGTTTGAAGAAGGCTTCTCACTTCCAACCGGTTTTGAAGACTTGGGAACCGACGCTGTTGGTCGCGATGAACTCTGGTATTTCCTCGCCGAGATCGCTCTCCGGAGACTGCTCAACCGCGTAAGCTCTATGCTCTACATCCGAACGACGCCATATTCGAAAGGTCCAGCTGCTACCTCGATTGCGCAACTAGACCCGCTGGTCGTGGAACTAGACTACCAATTGAACCAGTGGTATGCTGGATTACCGCCAGCCATGCAATTCCCACTCGACAGAGTGCCACTGCAGAACCCTGTCCAGACCGTACTGAGACTACGCTACTTTGCATGCCGCACAATCATCTTCCGACCCTATGTGCTTCTTGTGTTACAAGACGAATCTCTTGCAATGGATTCAAGTGTGCAGGATAACTGCCACAAGTGCCTTGAAGCATGCGTTCGTCAACTCGAATACATCACCGCGCATCATGCTGGACATTTGCCTTATTTGTTCCAAGGCGCTCTTTCGTGAGTTCGCTATCCAAGCCATGCGTGCGTATGCTAACCATGCTTTAGTATCATCTCGCAAACACTACTCATCATGGGTGCAACCATGACACCTTCTTTATCGCAGCTTCTTCCGCCACCTGCGACAATGGATGACATCATAAACAACGTTGTTCTAGAGATGGAGCGCTACGCGCATCTTGCACCCAGTCTTCGTCTCTCTGCTGAGATCATACGTGAAGCCGAGGGAAAGCGACAGATGTGGCTACGAACAGCAGGACTCAAATTTGAAGTTTGAGTGACTTGAATCATGGTAGTTGCCAAACATCATGCAAGGCACCATCTGGCGCCTTGTGACTGCCGGGCAGAACGGCTCCTACAGGACTAGGGGCAATGTCCATTATCGACTCCGCTGCAAGATTTGCCTTCCATTTTTGGTGAGCTCCGCGTACATATGCATTAGGAAGTCCTCACTCCACGCGACGTTGGCTATCATATACGAGACAAGAGCGGGGTAGTCGGACCAACCCAGTTCTGAGGTCAAGCACAGACCTGCACATCCGGCGTCCTGTGTCGGTACCTACATATTCCATCACTTACCTATTGTATGTATATGGTCCGCACAGACGACGATCGGCCTTGGAATTTTTGCAGCATCCTAAGTTCTGCCTTTTGCATTTGTCATGATTGGTGAATCCAGTCGTGGCGTGGCATCTGGGGCGACTTTGCAAGGCGAGCCCAAGATTGCAAGCACAATGAAAGTGCTTGGCAAAAGACAACCAGCCAAGGAAAAGGATGCATGCTCCGGAAGAGCCGCATCCTAATGGAGAAGGTTACCCAATTACCTATACCCCCCATGGCAAAGAAAGACCGGATAATCAGCGAATAAATCAAAGTGATGAATTGAAAGGACGTTCTGTGGAGACTAGAATGTATACTAGCCATACGAATTCGGCCCCGCCACGGGACGTTGGCCTGAGCCGCTGGCCATTGCCAGTTCCAGGATGATGAGCGTGAAAGAAGATTTCTTATGGTGGCCCAGCACAAAGCTTTGCCAATTAGAAACAATGCCCATGCCCCATGTCAACCTTTTGCATCTAGCTCTGACCATGTTCTCGGCAGTGTTTGTGACGTGCCTTTGTACATACATGCTACTGGACTTACCTAGCCCTGGCCTTGTGCATAACACCCTAACACGGCAACACATACATGGCGTACGCGCGCGCACACGGCACAATCCTGAACACCCACACATATCCATACCCACACGCACAAAACAGTGACTAACGCAAGTCCCCCGCACAAGTGCAATATATATCATGCAGCACGGTACCGGGGTACGCAACCCCCCTGCACGCCCGACACTTTGTGAGCTTAAACGCCTTTACCCGCATGCCTAGCTTTCGGGCCTTCTGGAAAATGGGTGGAAAGTTCTTTGAACCCTTCGAGAAACCGGTCTCTAGTACACAGTAAGATGACGCTGAGCAGAGGTCTTGAGGGTGTGTAGGAGGGGGTCGCGTGGCAGGTGGGAAGGGAGCTGTCATCAGCTCTTCGTCTGAGATATTAGTACTGTCACTATTGGCTCATAGTCTTTAGCTGATAGGCACTGGGGCTTAGCCGGACTAACGCTGCGCAGCCTTCACCGATGGCCTCAATGGATGTACCTATGTATGTACAACCCACCAGTACATTTTGTGCAAGTCCATAACTATCGTGTACACACAATGCACATCAGCAGGAGGCAAAACAGCCACAAGCAACAGATCATCGCACAGCGAGATTGTATTCAGTTACGTGCCGAGGTATCCGCAATAGCAATCGTCGCTTAATGCCATATGGATAGTAGTATGCCACTAGGATTCGGAGCTTAGGCTAGTCAGCCTCCAGGTATTGAAGACCGGCTTCTGCAACTCACGGGATATGACGATGTCAAACTTTAACCCGTATCTGCTGAAGAGGCCTTGCCTGACGCTTGAGTGCCTGCGTTACCATTGGTGATGTTTGGATTAAGACGACGCCACAGTCGGGTACACGGGAGCTCGTGCCGCCACCACTACCACTACCGGGTACTTGAAGTCTCAAGAGATGGAGCTGTGTTTCCTCATACCATTGCGGTGTTGCGGTCTGGTGGTACACGACTAGACGTCATCGCAGACCCGAGTAAGTGGATGTGGGTCCTGGAGAAGTTCCAGAAGCAGCATAGAATGCTCCTAGCCGTGAAGTATAAATTTCACCGACCATGTACAATTGCCATCGAGCGCTTGGGCTACGTTTTTGGCCCGTTCCCAGCCAAGCAAATCCCTCTTACAGAATACAAATCATGTCAGCCTAATACGCTCTTCCCCAGTCTATCCGCTCGCCATGTATCCACGCGTCATGATAAAACTTGTTTCAAGATTGTTGAATCCTTCATCGTTGTCATCTTGCGTTCGTACGAATAGGATTTTCTCAATCTCCGATCTTCCCTCGGGCTATATACGGTCCCCAGGTGACTTATGGGTTCATCAAATCTAGACCAGTTCGTATTGCTAGGTACACAACTATACCCTGTCCTTAAGTTTGGAGTGTTATCGTCCAAAGTCATCCGTAATATTAAGAGTTTCTCAACATTCCGCCTCTTTAAGGGGTTCATTGACCTTGTAGAACAATGAGCTACAAACGATTCATCACGTGAGCTTGACCGTACCTGCCGGCAAAGTAAATGCCGGCCGCACCTTGCTCGTAGTGTATTATCTGAAACACACGCACACGCGTTGACAAGTACCCTGTTCCATTTCTAATCATACCGAAAATGGTCCTGAGAGAGTGCTCATAATCGTCCGATAATCTATTGGCTGGGTGGATTTCGAGAGCGAAGGTAGATGGATTGGCACCAGTTGGGTTCTCGAGTTGCTCAAGATAGTTAGTGACATAACGAACCATGAAGTCACGAAACACGAGTTACACGAGAGATATCATCGATCACATGACAAGGTGATTCAAGAGGAAGAAAGTCGCCAAACGCTACCGAAAGCGCAGAAATGCCACTTCTCGACAATATTTTGACTTGAAGACAAGGTGATTGGTACAGACTTGACGCTACTCGGCTTGTGCGTTAGCGTAGCTGGACCCACTAAAATTTCTTTGCAACTTGGGTGTCTGCGCGCGACAAAACACAACCACGACTGCATCTTCAACACCATGGCCGTCGACAACTCACTCGAGTCGCTCCTCGCGACTCTCACGACATCTATTCAATCTGCTACCGAAGCGCTGCCCAATGACGATATAGTGCCACCAAAGGAAGGAATCTCCCTGCTGGACGTAAAGAATGAGCTGCTTCTGAGCTACCTGCAAAACCTGGTTTTCCTTATCCTCCTAAAACTGAGATCACAAAAAAGCAACCAGAAAGAGGCGGGTCTCCACCCTCAGGATGAAGTCGTTCAAAAGCTTGTTGAACTGAGGATCTACCTGGAAAAGGGCGTTCGTCCCCTCGAAAGCCGTCTGAAATACCAAATCGACAAGATTTTGAGGACAGCAGATGATGCCACTCGTCGCATTACCCAGGCTCCTACAAGTTTGGCTTCAAGACCCAAGAAGATAAAGACAGACACGGGATCCGATTCAGATGTGAGCGATGCCGAATCAGCTGGGTCTGCACAGACGGAAGAAGATGAAGACGAGATGGCATACGGCCCCCGACGTGCCCAAGTCACACGCCAAAAGACGGAAGCCAGTCAGGAACACGCACGTGAATCTGCAAAAGACGGCATCTATCGGCCCCCCAAGATCACACCCATGGCCATGCCGACTCCAGAAGGTCGCGAAGCGCGACGAGAGCGCCGTCCAGGAAAATCAGCTACTCTGGATGAATTCATTGCTACCGAGCTCTCTACTGCTCCCATTGCTGAGCCCAGTATTGGTTCTACCATTACACAGGGCGGCCGGCACACCAAATCCGAGCGTGAGCGCCGCGAAGAGAATGAAAGACGCGAATACGAAGAAGCAAACTTTACTCGCTTAGCTCCAGATAGCAAAAAGGAGGCTGCTAGGAAAAAGGCCCGGCAGCAGCACGATGGTGGTTTCGGAGGCGAGGAATGGAGAAGTTTGGGCGCGGGCATTGACCGTATTGAACGACTTACGCAGAAGAAGGGGGGTAATTTGGGAAGCTTGGAGAGGAGCAGGAAGAGGCCTGTTGGTGATGGTCCAAGGGGCTCGGGATCCGCTGCCGGAGACGCGTTTGAGAAGAGGAGGAAGATTGTTGGAAGATATAGGTAAGACTACAGGGAGCACTTGTAAATCAAGATGAAGAATTGCCAATCCTGGAATATTTCAACCAAAAGATGCTTGCCAACCAATGAACACCATGACCAATCTGCGTCATACATGACTTCGAACTTGCCAACTACGTATCCACCCGGTTCTGAGAAGCTTTGTTCACAGCCAACAAGAGATGAAGCAGAGTTCAAAACAGAAAAAACCCTTGATCAATGAGCCGAGAACCGTATAATTTCATGATTAATAACGACTCAATGCTTCTCGTCTCGTAAGGAGCATCTACAGATAGTCCTCTGATAATGCTCATCATCGACATGCCTTTGACGCCTATGCTATGAGTTCTGCAATGCTCATCCTTCCCAGTACCAAATCGATGCTCGCCATAAAGAAAACTCCATGGAAGACAGATGAAAAGCCAATGCGGCCAGGCGAAGCTCTTACGCCAAATACCTATACGAGTCCACCTGCGCGCCCTCTATGCGCTCAAGGTATTCACGCTCAATAAGCGACTCAATACGCTTCTTGACCATGTTGACCTCAGGTTTGAACTGCCCAACGAGTTGGCTGAGCGTCTCTGACATGAGTTGTTGATGCGATAGTTCTTTACGTTGCCTAAGAAAGCCGGTTAGCGTACGATACAATAGGTGGCACAATAAAGTACGTACTTCATAATTCGCACAACAGCAGCCTCGATACAGAAACCTCGCGAATCATCATTCTTCTTTTCTGTTTCTCGTCGCTCGCGATCACTCTCAACCTTGTTTCCTCCACTAACGACGCCGACTTTGATCTTGACGAACTTGCCTTGAAAACCTTCATTGAAGAAGAAGCGATCAGTGGGCTTCACGTCTTTGGACATAGGCTCCTTTACTAGAATGCGCGTCTTTGGCGCTACAGCAAGCGACTGAAGGTTTCGGATCAAGTCACTAGGTGGTATGTTGGTCCGCGCTTGGATCTCCTCAAAAGTGATGTGTTGATTTGGAGCGAGATCGTTGAACAAGAGCAGGATAACCATGCCGTATGTTGACACGTTGAGCTCGTGACGACGCTCCTTGAACGAGCCATCCTTTTGCGGTACTTTGGGGAAAACAGCCTTGATGTCTGCCGAACCCATGTTGGCTAACCAGGTAAGTTGTCGACCAGAGTGCTTCTGGCTGTAGAACTTCTCAAATCCACGCTTGAGCTTGTCAACAACGGCAGGGTAATTGCACCGTGGCCGCTGATCTTCTTCGTCGGCAGCTGCGCCACCCATTGTCTCGAGAGGCCATGTCATGCTTGTGAGCACGTTGATGGATAGCTCGATTCGCTTTGGGTCCTTGTCGCCCAATCCTTCAACATGTTTCTTGAAGCCAGCAGTTAGCTCTTCGGAAATAGTCATGTCCTTGAACATGGCCTCTAGCTTCAGCGTAAAGTTGTTGCCGAGCTCAATCTTCATCTTTGAAATCATCTGCTTTTCGACTTCGTTGCTGATCGACTTGTTCATCAACAATCGTCGGCATAGATGCTTCTTGTAGTAGCGCTCGAAGAGATCCTTGTCTTGAACATATCGCAGCAGTATAATGGCCTTTTCTAAGACCGCATCAATCTCAGACTCAGTCTTGCCCTTAATACCCTTTTTCATGTTCTCATCGATGAAGAGGGAGATATACTCTGATGAGCGTGGGAAGGTTGGAGAGTTGATGAAGTCGGTGAAACTCTGCGTTTGCGCCTGCTGCAACAATGGATCGGACTCAAAAGACTCTCGCCAGATTTTGTCGAACCTGTCTTTAAGTGCAAGGACATCCTCAACCCACTTGATTGCAGCGACTGTCTGCTGGTTCATACTCTTTTCTTGTATAGGACCCTTGGCCTTGTCAGCAGGATCGGCGACGGGCACAACAGCAGGCGCCTGCGACGCGGCGATTGCATCCTTGTTGATATCCGAGCCCATATCCACGATGCGCTGCTGAATGGCGCGAGTGATTTCCATCTTCTTGTCGTCTACACGCCTGTTTAGGTCGTAGATGAGATTTAGCTCTTCAAGCCTATGATTGTCAATCATGAAGCGCACGCCACTCTCCATTTCGACAAGCTCGTGTATGCGGTTCTTGATCAACTCGTCCTCCACCACCTTCTGAATCTTGGGTCCAGTGCTCTCTAGCAATGTCTGCTTGCAGCGCTCGTCTTCCTCGTAAATTCTACGTCGCGCATGTTTGCAATATGCACCCGCATGGCAGTCGCGTAGCAATAGTTCCGATTCGCCCCGGTAAAAAGTGCTGCTTGTCTCCAAGTACTCCTTCTCGAATGAAGTGTTGTATAACCGTTGTTCTTCGGATTCTATGTCAGCCTCGTGCAAGCCTTCCAGCATCCATACACAGGATTTGATAAGTTGCTTGTCAATGACGTCGTCATCGCGCTCCATCTGGATTTGGTCAAGGATGATGTAGCTTAGCAGGCCGAGAATAGTGCGAGCGTCGGTTGGAGATACTGGTGAATTTAGAATCTCGTCGCGAAATAGAACCATAGCAGCGTTGTAGATGGAAGGTCGGCGGTGGTCGGCACAATAGACACGATCCTTTGTCACATGTGTTAGCTTGTGTTGCCTCTTTAAATGATATGAAGAGGGTCCGGCCTCACCATATACATGAGCACGTCTGCCAGCATGCTTGTGCAGATTTGATGGTCACTCCATGCCTGCCGTAGTCCCTTTAGAAACTTTTCACCAGCGACACGTCGCTCGTTGGGCGTAGTTCCACCCATACTTTGCGGATTTACGAGGAGGTTTGGGGATATTAATTGCTGGATAGTGTTGCGGACCTCGGTGCTCAGCCAGTTGCTCTCGAATTCGTGGACCTTATTGTATAGATTTTCGCCTTTCTTCTTCAGAACAATACGGTAGGCGTGGCGGTACAACTCCTCGTATGACAGCTTAGAGGCATTTTTTGTGTGTATTTCGCGAAAGGCGGCCTCGATGGTGCCCCATGTGTTCTCGAAATCAATTTCGTCGCCATGTAGACCCTATGAGCGTGATATGGTCAGTGTGGGGCGGCAAGGGCGAGTGCGCAAAACTTACCCTTCGTGGGGGTCTTATCCGCTGCCTGCCCCTTCCTGCAATCATGTTTGGTAGTGCCTCGAGGGTAGAGTGGGATGTTCAAAAGCACAAGGTCTTGGTGCGGTTGAGAGCGGAGCAAGGTCGTGGTGGCTGCAAGGCTTGGTGTGTGGGGAGAGGTCGGGAAACAAGGGCGCGTATGTTCAACAGAGCACCAGCATGCTCGTGCGCCGCAAAGAAACAATGAATCGGAAAAGAATGGCTGGAGAGGTGCGCAAGGGCGTGAGAGATGAGGGATGAGGTCAGGTAAGAGTCCCCGCTGAATGGCCGCGGCTGTCATCGTCATTGCTTGGCGGTCGATCAACTTTAATCATTCTTTTGTCCGCGGGCATGACCCGCTGTCTCCAACTCCACACCCAAACAGCCGCCATGCGCTCCTCACCATCTTTACTGCGCGCTTTCGCCCGAAGTGCCGTACTTCGGACAAGACCAAACGTTACTGCTGGTTGCATCCCAGCGCCCGCAAAGCGCTTCCTGCACACACGGCAATCACTCACTGCCCTCCGCCCAGCGCCCGCACCATTGCGAGCGCCAGTGCCCTCCACTGTCCGCTTCGAGTCAAACACGGCCGCTCCCACGTCCACCACTGCCCCAGACTCACGGTTAGAACGCGACCAAGTCCCCTCATACGAGCTCACCTTCACCTGCAATGTCTGCAAGACACGCTCGTCGCACCGATTATCAAAGCAGGGCTACCATCATGGAACAGTCCTAATCCAGTGTCCAGGCTGTAAGAACAGACATTTGATCAGCGACCATCTCAAGGTACCCTTACCATGAGCTTTCTACTCAGATACACACGCTCATTGCATATAGGTGTTTTCAGACAAGTCCCTTACCATCGAGGATCTCATGCGCGAAAAGGGAAGCCTAATCAAGAAAGGCTCTCTGAGTGCTGAGGGCGACGTCGAGTTCTGGGACGACGGCACTTCTACGCCTCGCTCCGCACATTTTCACGCCGACTCTATGCCCAAAGGTGATAATCGCCTGTCACAACTGCCAGACCCACCCAAACCCCCACAGGAATGAACGCCATGCTCCCCACATCAACTAGTCCGCCGGCTAGCTCACCTGCACCATGGTGTAATCGCCAGCACTCCATATTATACTGTTTGAGTAATTATGACTTGACTTTTTTTATCTCTGTTTGCTATATAGTGTATCAGATCAATTATCTTAGAAAAGAATAGCAGGCCAGACCCTAACCTACCAGAATTGAGTATTAAAAAATAACTTTGCAATTAAAGTATACAGTAATAGAATTTAGGTAATTGTTAGTAAGATCTTATTTTAAACTCTAAAAAATAGTTTAGTAATACTACTAAAAATATACCTCTATTAGATACGATAACTAAATTATAGTCGCGATAAAGGTAGTAGAATAGCGAACTACGGTTGTAATAAGATAGTAGCATAACGAACTATAGTTACAATTGTTAGAGATCTAAGCTAATCAGCTGATCTCTGGCATAATCCGAGTGCTCGGCATCACACCTAGATTCTTCAATCAATCGATCCCTAAACCAATTTATCTATCTATTGCGTCTATAGCCACATAATCTACTACTAGATAGATTCTTCTAGAATCTAGTACAGCTAATATATATAGTAGTAGAATAGCTAGTAGATAGAAACAAGAGCAGATTACCAGAGCAGACAATAAGAACAGATCAGATCAATCTAATTCTTTAATCTCTCTCCCCTAGTATTATTTCTTTTCTACCTAGAACCTATCGATTCGCTACCTCTGAGTGTATCGCTAGACAAGTAGACAACTCTACCTCTGAGCTAGCTATTGAACAAGTAGCACCCTCCTTATTTCAACAACAATAAGGACACGCAGTGTAGCGCAGCTCAGCGATGCCTACAAATTCACCATATTGTCAGTCTATCTCTCCCATCTTATCTCTTTCATCTCTCTCATCTCTCTCATCTCTCTCATCTCTCTCATCTCTCTCATCTCTCTCATCTCTCTCATCTCTCTCATCTCTCTCATCTCTCTCATCTCTCTCATCTCTCTCATCTCTCTCATCTTATCTTAACTACGAATCAATTTCAACTCTATCTTGAATCACCCGGTACGATGATACGGCTTTTCTCCTAGTTACGATCTTAGCGGCGGCCCTCTAGTACTAAGCCGAACCTATCCTAAAAGCTATAAATCCTAGTAGAGCTCTCTTCTGCTAGAATTTATAGCTTTTTACTCTTCTCCGCCTTAGTATATACTATAAGATCTATAAGTATAGGTATTTATCTAGTTAAAATCCAATAGATCTATACTAAAATAGTAGTGTAGATCTCTTCTTAATATTAATATTAGTAGATTAGAAAGTAGTAATACTACTCTAATCTACTACATATATAGATGCGCTTATAGTTTTCAGGGGCTACGCCCGTGTGTATAGCTTAGTTAGGTCAAATAAATCGAGTATATCTACGCAACTGTAACGGCGCAGGCAAGACTACTCGGATCAGTATCGGCAGTAGTGTCACTCAGAGGCATATGGGAGTGCGTGGGACGTCAAACAAGCCTTGATTCGAATAGACACCTATAAGCCTTGTACGAAAGGATATCAAAAACCTATCGAGCTACTATGGAGAACGGATGGGGTTTTATATCAGCAGATCTTCCCTAGGCTAGTTCGTGCCCATGTTCGGATCCCTTTCGGATGTTGGTTCGGTAGGTACTCGAACCGTTACAGCAACTACCTTGACTTCAAGACAAGCTTAAAGTCTTGTTACTGCCTTTTTGGCAAAATAGTCGACGTAAGTAGTTATACTTTCGGCTCAAAGAGCCCGCCTATTACAATAGTATGTACATATATAAAGTAAGTATATACATAGTTAATAGATTATATTAATAGACTTAGGAAGAATACTTATAAGTAGCTAAAAGATATCATACATAGATAGTATTTTAAAGGCTATTTCTATACTAAATATTGTAAAGAAGTAAAAGAAGTTTAGGAAATTATTATAGAGTAAGGAGAGCTAAGTATAGATAAGTACAACGCTATATTTTATCTAGAAGCATCTAAGGGTAGTTAGTAGAGATAAGGCGGAGAAAGTTAAATAATATGTCTTAGGTGGTAGATTAGACGTGTCGTTCGAATTAGCGCGTGACGGTGTTAAAAGGTAGAGCTAAGGATAGGTGCGCGTGGTTGCTGTTTTGATTATCTGCTTTACTTACTAGTCTTAACAAATCTCGGAATTTTTTCTCTCAAACAAATCCATCTCAGAAGACCGAAGCTGAGTAATTATATATAGCTAATCTACTTTTATAGTAGTTGCTCCCATTGTATTAGATCTTAGTCGTTAGAACGATCTATTTTTCAGAATCACTCCGTAGAGGCATGCGCTAGCCTGTACCCAAGGAAACAGACACCACCTCCCTAAAAGAAAAGAATTCACGCAGGGTATCATATCAGCAAGCGTTCGTCCTTCCCATTACCATAACGCCTGATTCCAATGCTTTTGAAACAGAAGAGAGACCGATTTCTTTCCCGCAATATACCTGGATGCTAGGGGTGTGGACCCGGGCGCAGAGTTAGTTCATCGTCGTGCTGTCGCCGGAACTATCGATTTCTCCTTTGGCATCTTCTTGTCATCGCCAAGCTTACCAATGGAGCTCTCTGTGTGCATGTGAGGCGCCACCTCGACTAGCCATTCTGGACTGATAGGCAGAACGGCTCGTGCATAAGTCTTGGACGACTCTACAATCTCAAAATACACTATCCACTTTGGACGATTCTCGATCAAACTTGAGGATGGGTGTATGAATATGGTCATCCCGCTGTTGGAAATCGCACGATAACTCAATCCGTCGCGTGCTAGCCTGGCAGCGTTGATGAAATAAGCCGATGTTATGCACTTACGGATAGCAATATGATTCGTGCTACCACAGCTGGAAGATGGTACCTCGACACGATCGCAGAGCTTGGTCAACTGATCCCGCACGTCGCGAGCTCGATTGAGGCATCTCCACTGTAGAAAGTTCTCGGTCGCCCACCGACTGTCAAAGCCACTGTCCTCAAATTGGTCCCATATATTGAGAAACGTCATGAAGTCACCGCCTTCTTTGCTGCTGAAGCGGGCTCGAGCAGCATCTGCCGCCACTCTTTTGTCTTTTGGCCGGAGGAAGAGTGAGGCTGACTCTCCCAACACACTGACAATCGACAGTATCTCCTCGCGACAGCCGTACTTCTCCGATGCAAGTATAGCTTTGGAAAGTTTGATGTCAAGTGGCAATTCTGCCATTCGTCGGCCGAGTCGAGTCAATTTTCCTGTAGAGTCCAAAGCTCCCAGTGCGTACAGATTTTCCAGAGACTTGATGAGAGATGTGCTTGATGGAGGATCCAGGAACTCAAATTCAAGCAGATTGTCGATACCCAAAGCCTTTAATGTCAAGACGACACCGTCAAGGTTTGCGCGCAGTAGCTCGGGCTCAGTAGTTTCGCTGAGCTCATTGTAGAAGGCGTGTTTTGTATACAGGCGGTAGCAATATCCCTCGCTTGTGCGTCCAGCACGTCCAGCCCGCTGGTTGGCGCTTGCACGAGAAATAGGGCTAACGATCAGCGAGCTGATGCCATTCGACGATATGTAATTACTCTGCTTGCTATAGCCCGAATCAATGACATGGCGAATGCCGTCTATAGTTAGCGATGTCTCAGCAATGTCGGTAGAAATAACCAGCTTTCTAGCATTGGGTGGCGTAGGCTCAAAGACCTTGGCTTGTGCATCTGGCGGAAGCGCACTGTACAGCGGACAAACAATCAGTTCTTTAGCCCGCCCGCCCAGCTTCTTCATGGTTGTTTCTATGTTCTCCACGGCAGCTTGAATCTCTTCCTCTCCGGTAAGGAACATGAGGATGTCCCCCGGAAGCTCTGCAGCCAAGTGGATTTGGAGAGCAGATGTGATGCCGGCGCTAAGGTAGTTGGCTTCTGGAGCGCTCGTGTAGAGAATATTAATCGGGAAGGTTCTGCCTTCGACATAAAACGTAGGTGCATCGTCGAAATACTTTGAGAATTTGGAGGCGTTGATCGTGGCAGAAAGGACCAGCAGCTTGAACTCTGGCCTGGCACGACAAACTTCACGACACAGACAGAGCAGAAGATCCGAAGCGATTGATCTCTCGTGTGCCTCGTCGATCATCACCACAGAGTAGTTTGACAACAAGGGATCGGTCATAGCCTCACGTAGAAGTACACCATCCGTAGCGAACTTGACAATGGTCTTGTCGCTTGTCTTGTCGTCAAAACGGACACTGTAGCCAACTTCGTGGCCTAGCTTGCATCCATACTCTTCTGCAACACGCTTAGCCACGCTCATGGCTGCTACTCGTCTGGGCTGCGTGATTGCAATCGATCCAGTCTTTGTGTAGCCAGCCTCGGCCGCGAATTGAGGGATTTGCGTCGTCTTTCCCGATCCAGTGTCACCGACTACGACAAGTGTTTGATACTTAGAGACGGCATCGAGTATTTCCTCACGGTACTTGTAAACAGGCAGACTTTTGCGAACTTCATCAATAGTCTTGGCCCGCTTTTCTGCCGAGTCGAGTTGGGCTTGGAGAGCCTGTTTAGCGGGATCGATGCGACTCGAAATGTCTTGTTGGAACTGAATCTGATTCGAAGTATCGAAAACAAACTCGTAGTCGTCCTCCTGCACGCGCTCGGCTTTCTTGGTCTGGCTTTTGATCTTGTTCATCTGGTCTTCCTCCCACTGCTGATATTCCGACTTAAAGTGACTCGCTTCGTCACGACGGTTGAGCACTTCGGCCTTGTTCGAGAAGTCGGCATCGGGGATCATGAACCCATCGCGGTGCTCATCAATGGCGTTCCTTGCCTCGGCCAACCTCAGAGTCTCTTTGTTCTTTGCAAACTCTTTGCGCTCCCTCTCTGATAGCCTGGATCCTAGTCTCTCTTCCTCCTCTGCTTCATCGGCGACTTGGCGGCGGAGGATGGCGAGCTGTTGCGCCTCTCGTTCGGCAAGGTACTTTTGTCGCGACGCGAGGCGGAGCGCGCTGACGTCTTGATCACCGGTCTTGCGGCGTTTTGGATCCATGATGGGCGATTGGTGTATATGTGTTTGTTTGTAAGGAGGTGATGGACAGCGAACGAAGCTCTCTACAAAATGTTGAAGCTCGGACCAATTGGCGGGAGAACAGTGGAAGCCGAGTCGCGCTAAGGGCCTGTTCGGTTGCGCGTTTTGCGTTTGCGTTTTGCGTTTTAAAGACTGGATTTGGACTGCGTTCTGGAAACACTCTTAATAAGACAGCTCGGTGACGAACCTAAGAGTTGAGATCAAGTCTAAATGAATTTGCGGCGGTGATGAGATGGGAGAGACGGGCGGGAGGCGAAACACGGGGAATTTATAGGCATCGGTGCACTACACTGCGCTGCGTGTTATTATTACAACTATGGTTCGCTATCATGATTGATGTATTGGCTGATATGAGCTTTCCGAAGTGGCTTGATACAGTATTTTGGCTCGGAAAAATAGTGTAGTAGTTAATCAAGGAGATATTATGAAAGCTACTTCGTCGCTAAAACCTAAGAACTCCTTTCTGTGTCTCAGAAGTTGAAAAGGAACTGATTTTAATGCTGAAATGTTCTTTAGAAACCAGATGTTCTTTTTGGCTCCGGAGGGGGGAGATTCGAAATGGTTCGCTTTGCTACTACCTTTACTTATCGCAGCTGTAGTTCGTTGTTCTGTTGCCTTCGTTGCAAACACAGTTAACCTAATCGTCGCGCCTATAGGCGTACACCTGTAAAGAAATTACGAGTATTACTGCGTATTACTAAACAGCCTTTTTCAGAGTCAGAAGTAGGGCTTCTTGTTATGATCTTTACTCTTAACGACAGAGGCTTCTTTTTAATACCCAAATCTAACAGGGCAGAGTGTACCTTGCTATCTTTTTTTCTAAGAAAAACCATGTAATTCGCTATACGCCAGACAGATGTAAACAATGGAACCCATTAAGAGGCGCATTGCTGACCAGTTCAAACGCTACAATGATCATCTTCTTCAAGTGATGAATTCGTTCTATTCTTCATGCCCCGCTCATCAAAACGCTGTTCGCAATGTCATGCTTCATGAACGCTATAAACACAAGAACAAATACAAATGACCCATAGCAAAACCACTGTTATTCCAAGCAACGCTCCAACCCTGATTCTTAGTGACTTATATACTGGAACACAGCACTGACGTCCTTCAAGTCATTCGCCGTCTCCTGTCTAAGCAACAAATCCTGAATCTTGCCTAGTGCGCCCGTCTCCCCATCATTAACAAAATGATTCCAAGTACTCGTGTCGCCATACAACATGGCCGGAGCCTTGATGATTTGCTTGCCGTCCTCTTTCCGGCATCGCTTGCATTTGAATGTGTCGTGGGTATCACTCGTCGTATTATCGCGGTATTGGAAAAGCTCACGAAGCGAGTCAAGACTAAAATGTCGCTCTACATCCTCTGCAGAGTCAACAACACAGGACGAGAGCGACTGCTTGTGAGATTGTCGCTGGAAGACCTTCTCTTCAATGGTACCGGTGGTGATGAAGCGGTACACGAAGCAGTCCTTTTTCTGGCCATCACGCCACACACGAGCAAGGGCTTGCTGGTCGGCAGCTGGGTTCCAGTCCGGATCGAAAAGGACAAGTCGGTTAGCGCCAATGAGATTGAGACCACATCCACCAGCTTTGGATGAGAGAAGGAAGACAAACTCAGGACTTTCTGGGTCATTGAACTTGTCAACCAGTTTTTGTCGTTTGCTAACGTTCATTGTGCCGTCTAGGCGGAAACAACCATATCCACGTGATCGGCAAAGCATGGCAAAAATGTCGAGTGTCTGAGTGTAGTTGGAAATCAAAACGATCTTGTCGTTTGTCTCGGCGCGGATGCGCGCAAGCATACGGTCAAGGACGGCCATCTTTCCAGAGTACCACACCTTGACCTCCCGGTCTCGACCTCGTGCGTCCTTTTGCACAAAATCTTCAGGTAGCTTGTCTTCACATCCTGGCAAGTCTTCTGGTAGATTGAGCAGGTCAGGGTGGTTGCACAGCTTCTTGAGCATACCAATGACCTTGAGGGGCTGCGAACCTTTGCCACGTAACAGGCTTTGAACGTCCGGTGACTTTATGAAATGGTTGTATAGGTCCTTTTGAAATGGTGCAAGATTGCAGAACACGACGTGCTCATATTTGACCGGTAGGTATTTGGAGAGAATGTCGTTAGTTCGTCTGATGATGAACTTGTTGACCAGACCTAATAGCTCCGTGAGCCGCTCGGTACCCTTCTGTACGTCTGCGTCTGTTCCGTTGGCATCGCGACCCTTGAGAATGGGTATTTCAAATTGCTTGCGGAATTCCATACGTGTACCAAGGTAACCAGGATTCGCGAAATTGAGCAGTGCGAAATACTCTGAAAGATCGTTCTGGATGGGCGTACCGGAGAGAATGACACGTCTCTGTACATTCAAACTGTTCAAGGCCGTGAAAGTTAAGCTGTCTCCATTCTTCAATCGATGACCTTCATCGCAAAGCATCAATCCAATTGGCGTTTGTCCAAACTCGTCAACGTAAAGTCGTAGTGTTTCATAAGACACAATCAACACTGGCCGAACAACTGCGCGTCCAGATGCAATTGACCATTGCCGTATTTGTTGAATCAGTTCTTCTTTCGATGCTTTTCCGTCGATCGCGAAAGGGGTGACAGCATCTTTCCCTAGCCATTTGACCAGCTCGTTTGCCCAATTTCTTACTAAACTTGAGGGACATGCAATAACACATTTCTGTATCGTTGATTTACCAGCGTCAGGTGACTGCTTCAACAGCGTCCACATCAGCGTGATGCACTGCAATGTCTTGCCGAGACCCATCTCGTCGGCCATGATACAGCCGTTCGCCTTTGGATCAATCATGCCAGTTGTGGCTCGGTACAAAAATTTCACTCCTTCAACCTGATGGGGTCGCAGAACCTTGGCAAGCCTTGGATCTATCACGACTGGTACACGCGGTCGCTCGTTGTCTACCTTCTTCTTCAAACCCAGTATCTCCGCCAAACTCTTATGAACCAGTGGAGCATCTAGCTCCTTCTTCTCAGTTTGGATTTCCTTGGGCTCAGGATCTTGTTTCGGCTCCGGCTTGTCGTCAACAGTTGGGTCATATAGTACGATTGCAAATTCTCCACTGGGATCATGCAGTGGTCGTGCAACGAAGACAGTTCCAATTCGCATACCCAGTAGAGGCGCTGGTCGATTTGGGTTGTATGCTCCCGTGCCCTTATTGACTAGAGGCACAATAAATTTTGCCCTGAATGCAGTCTCTTTGTCTTTGGGTTTGAACACTGGGAACCGGTTCGCGTCTCGTGTGGCGAGGGCTAATCGATCCTCGTTGGAGTATGGTTTATCACTTTCCCCATCCTCACCGCCAGCGCCAGAGTAATCGACTTTCCGCCTCTTCCTTGCTGGTTTTTCGGACACTCGCGACACTGTGGCTGAACCTGGACATCGAAATGGCTTGATTAGACGCTCGGTCGACTGCGGAGTGCCACCATAGAGACGCGCTGCAGGTTTCAACGGCGTGGCCTCGCCAGTTGCGAGTGTTTTCGGCCGGTGCATGATGAATCACTGCACTGGAGAACTCGGCAGTGTTTTATGAGGCGTTTTGGACAATGTGGTGAAGGTTGAAAGAATAGTGCAGAAGTGTTGCTCGGTGCTCCAAGGTGGCGGATTACCATCGCGTCCCTAATTAGCGTACTCGCGCTGTCACGTGCCATAATAGGCACCCACATCATCCTAAGCAAAGTCAATTTATCCATCCGGAAGATTGTAATCATCCAAATAAATGAAGATATTCCAAAAAAAGGGTCAAAATGGGTTGATTGCGCGAAAAAATGAATTGAGCTTGGTGTAGAAAACCCAGTGACCGGCACCTCCGAGCCTCTCCGCAAATTCCCCAAACGCACCCACCACCGCCACCACATTGAACATCCTCACACCATGGCGCGAAAAGCAATAGCAAAAGACCAAATTGTCAAACTGATCGTAGGCGCAGGTCAAGCGTCGCCCTCACCACCTGTAGGACCGGCACTAGGAAGTAAAGGTGTAAAGAGCATGGATTTTTGCAAAGTATGTTAAATGAGGATCTCTACCTCGACCCATTGTCGCAAGATCATCCAGTTAACAATCTGATCTCAGGAGTTCAATGCAAGAACAGCACACTATACAGCGGGCACGCCCGTACCTGCGCGCATCACAGTCCGCCCCGATCGCTCATTCCACTTTCAGCTTCGCACACCACCCACTGCGACCCTCCTTCTAAGTGCGGCGGGTGTACTACCAACCAAGAACAAGATACGGGGTGCAGGAAACGTTCCCGGACCAATGAACAACCACGAAGGACAAAAGGGAAAAACGTCAACGAGTAGTCCAACGGTGGGAAATGCGGTCAAGGGTACGGTAGGCACTGTCAGCCTAAAGCATGTGTATGAGATTGCCAAGATCAAGCACAGTGAGACACGATTGAGCGGGTTGAGTCTCGAGGGGATTGCGAGGAGTATCGTAGGACAGGCTGGAAGCTTGGGTGTAGTCGTCGTACCATAGGCTGATGGACAGAGTTTCAGATTTTCGTTGCTGTTGTGCTCGAGTCATTTCGGAGGGGGGCTTAGAAGTACAGAATATGAGACGTCGCGAGAGCATCCAGATCAAATTCTTGTCTATTGCACAAGACAAGAATCGGATGATGGAGCTTGAGCATGGCACATGCACCTTTAGACACTGGGTCACTGCTAGAAAGGGCATTGTATAGATATTTGAAATTTGCAGAGGTGGGGACATAGCTTCTCCAAACATCACTCAACATGACTAGAACCAAGAGAGGGAGGCTACAATATGAACCGATGTACATGCTAAAGGTGGCTCTACGTTGAGAGAAAATCCATATTATCTAGTATACTACATAAGCCTCTAACATCATGATTGCATTCGAAGCCAGTCTATAGCGATGATTTGTTCAAGATGAATGGGAAAGGCAAATGTCGATAGTGAACGAGGCTGGTTGCGGACGTTGCCTCAAATGTGGCCGGTGGAAGATCAGGAGTGACGGGCTTTTGTGTGATGTATGTCTTGAACAAGATTGGTCTTTGCTCAGCTCAGATCACAACCTGGCTGCCGCTTCATCAAAAACCATAAACACCCCCATGCTCTTGGAATCTCAATTGATGGTCCCTCAAATCTGCCCACAAGCGCAGCTCGCTTTCTTCGTCAAAGCTTCCGCCATTGGGATCACTGACTTCTGGGCTTACCCTCTCTAGCTTACTTAGTATGTCCAGGAATTTGTACAGGTAATCTTGATGCTGTTGCGCTACACTACCTTTTCTTTCTTTAGGTACGTCAAGCAGTGTACTGGCAATGGATCGAATTTTTTGTATCTGTGTTGGAACGACCTGTAAGCTCACGAACGGACTAATGGTGTTTGAGGCAAAACAAAAAAATACAGCGGGGGAGGACATCACTAGGTATGCGGCTTGATAGAGGAGACCAAAGTCTTGCAAGTGAATACGTAGACTTACAAAAGAGTCACCATTGGGCTCCATGTTAACCATATCAATGTTGCTTAGTACCACCAAGAGGTCTTTGACCACCTGCTCGCGCTCTTCGGACATTATCTTTTCGAGAGCTTCAGGGTCAGTTGTTGTGTCAGATACGAACTTGTCGATTCCTGCTGCAATCGCATTGGTAGAGCTCTGTAGACTCGCTTGGGCTTTTGTTCTTCGATACTTTTCTAGTTGTAGAAAATACTTCTCAACCAAATGTGAGCGGGTGGCCAAATGGCTAGCGTATATGTTCGCTTTCTGTATCTCGTAGCGTCGTGAATCTGGAGCATCTGACTTGTGGTAATAATCTATTGCAGGATCTCGCATGCCTGCGTACTCGGTTACGGGTGGTTGATACGATTTCTGTGGCTCGACCTCGCTATCTTTCCCAGTCTTGGGACGAACCTTCAGTACCTCTGGTATGCTTTGCAAGATCTGCCTGCAACGCTGCAAGCTTTGCTGTAAAACACGCTGCTGTCGGTCCCAATCGAATATCTCATCAATGCCGAAAGCCATCTCGGCTGTAGCGAGTGAAGAGTATGAAAGATAAATGCGCACGTTAATGTTGAAGCCAGTGAGCATTGAGACGACACCGTCTTGCTGTGGCTGGATTTCGTGAGGAAAAATGTGCACATCATCTACTTCTCGCGGTAGAGGAGGTAGAGGCTCGCTGGGCGTTGCAGGCGCAATCACAAGCTCTCCAAAAGACGCACCCAATTGCTGTATGGTCCTGATTGAAATTAGCAATTGTTGAGACTAGAGATAGGGCGTAACCCACCGCACACCAACAAAGACAGTCCAGAAAACACGACGGCCGATCTCTTCTGTGATGTAGTCGACTTTGGCCTCCCTCGAGCCATCGTAGTTGGGACCACTGGAGCCCCAAGCACCAGGTACACCGCCGAGGTAAGTATAGCCCTGAAGTTCGGGTTTGTGGAGGCCCAAACCTCGTATGATGGTCAGGCATTCGGCCATGTACAGGCGCAGCGGCCGCCATTGGAAGACATAGGCTCCAGTCAAGCCAAGAAAATAGCTTGTGCAAGCATCGTACACACTCAGAGAAGGACGATCGAGGTAGCCTGGACCCCGCGCGCGGGCACAAACGTCTCGGCACTTATCAACCAGGGCAAGATGATTTGGGTATTCGTGGCGCGTCTGTGAGTTGAGGTGCAAGCGCGGTTTCCGGGGGAAAGAGGCGACTAAGGTAGCGATCATGGAGGCCAGCAGGGCGAGGAAGGAGGGATTCGTCAAGTCTTCTCTGCGACCCCATGCTTCGCGAAACGAGGGCTCATGGGGAAAGGGACATAGTGGATGTATGTAGGTAAAGAAGTCGTCAATGAGGGCGTTGAGGGTCGGGAGGGCGCATATTTCCTCGGCAGAGAGCTGGGCTAGCTGGGAGGACTGGAGCTGGGAGGACTGGAGCTGGGAGGACTGGAGTTGGGCCAAGGCGTGGGCGGCATTGGTGGGAGATTCGGGCGCTGACCCTTCCGAGTCTATGCCGGCAACGCGCCGCCGCTTGATGGCTTCGGCGTGTCTATTGGGAGGGCCGCGTCGTCGGCTGGGGCGATCGAATGTGCATGGAATTTCAAGGGCTACACAGGCCCTACAGGGCGGGCCTGATTCATCGCACTGGAGCAGAGGGCGCGAGTCAGTAACAAGATGTGTGGGCGCGTGGCGTGGCATACCTTGACCTTGCGGATGCTGCAAGAATCGCAGGCCTTGCGTAGTCTGTTTGGCTTGGACTGTTGGGATTGGGATTGAGATTGGGGCTGGGGTTGAGGCGAATTCAGCACATGATTTGCGTGGAGGGCCTGTTGGGCCTGCTGGGCCTGGAGCACCTCGTTGATGTTCTCGAGCTTGGGAAAGGCGGCATCGTGGGGGTAGGGCAGACGAGCAGACTGTGGTGGCTGGATCGGCTGTGTCGGCTGAGTGGCATCGAGGGCGTGGGCGTGGGCGGAGGAATAGGTGTAGTGCGGGTCCTGGGGTGGCAGGTACTGGGGCGAGTCTGGGGATTTCATGATTCCGAATATCTCCCGCCGCGCAGGAAGGAGGCGAGGTGACGTCGCGTCAGCTTCGGGACACAGACAAACGAGGCGTCGTGGAGCGCAGCGAGGAGCCGGAGTAGGCGCAGGAGCTGGGGCAGGCTGTACTACTACGATGTCTCTCTCGGACTCGTCGCATTGCGCAGCCAGACACGGACAGGAGACGAAGAGCAGAAACAAGACTTGACTGGCCTGTCACTGCACACGCAGGTGAGATTGATGTCGCGGTCCGACCACACGCGGAAACAGCCGAGGCCACCAAAGAGAACGCCTGGCGTGGGCGGCCATCCATGTGCATGTCCATGCCCATGCCCATGCCCATGCACTGCACTGCACCATCCCCAAGCGACGTCGATCCAAAGCCAACAAAATCCTCCGACATTGTGAACACATGTTCGTCCCATTGCGTCCTGTGATACCACACACGTCATCGCCAATACAATCCCCTGCTTGGCCATACATACTACTACACTACTGCATCCTGCCTCCACTGTTACCCGCTCCATCACTCTCCACTCTCCACCAGCACCCACTCCAACACTACCTATTATAGATCCACACCCAAAAGGGCCAGATCCCACTCCGGCTCCTCGCCTGGTCGTGTCTGTCAGTCGCTGTCGTCGCTGTCTGCCGAGCTGCGTGTCGGCGGACGTGTGCTTCGCGTAAGGGAAAAATCAAGCACGTCCGACTTGTCCCCAGCATCAACATACTTGCGCAGACACCACCCAATCTGCACAGCCGTCGATGTCTCCTTGCCCAGGGGATCAATCTGCCGCCCCTTGACAAATACTATACGCACGCCGTTAGCAAACTGTCCCATATGCCTCGACCCAGCTACTCACTGATTTGGTTCTGACTATCCTCGCGGTCGTAGACCTTGTCCGACGAGCCAAAGGCAATAAGTCCGAGTTTGGATGAGCGCCCTTGTTCCTTGGCATGGTCCGAACTGCGCTCAAACCCTTGTTGCGCCAGCCCGGCAAGGAGATGCTCGTAGATCTTGCGCGGCAGTTTGCTCGACGAAGGACTGTTGGTCGGCCACGTCGTAATGTTCAGTGTGGCCAGATGGCAAAGGTCACCCAGGCAGTTTTCAAAGTTGACAAAGCTATCGTTCTTGCTTCGAACCACGCTCACGGCAGGAAACCCTACTGAAATCTGCTCTAGCAAAGTGCAGTCCTTGCATATCTGCGAGAAGGATGAATAGTCGTACACGAGCTCCTCGTCACAGCTCTCGGGACCCGTGCTACCATGCACGTTCAGGCTCTTCAACGTCTTGCCATGGCGCACAATGCCCGCAGCAGCCGGCAGCGCCTTGACGTACGTGAGGTCCAGTGTCAAGGTCTTGATCCCAGACACCAAGCAAAGAAAGCCATCAATGGCACCCAACCCGTCGTTCTCCGTATTGTCATCATGCTTGAGTTCCAGTGTCTCGAGTTTGTCGGGAAGCTTCGTGCTTTTGCTCAGTTCGGCCAACAGGGCGTCGGCGCCCGAGCAGCCAAACACACGGATACTTTTAATCGTTTGGAAGTCGATCAGTTTGCAGTATGTCCCTGCCGCGTACCGCAAATGTAGCTTTTGTAGCGTGATCTCTTTGAGTGCCATGGGCGTGCACTTTGCGAAAGGCTGCATGTGGCTGAACATGGTTGAGGTAATCAGACCAGGCTCATTGACGGTGTCGTTCAACTCGCGCGTGGTAATGGACGAATCCAGCTCATCAAAGCTGGCATGTAATGTGATCTTGTCAAGTGTGCGTTTGGCCGTGTTTTTGAGTAGAAAGTGGCAAAATTCCAGAACCTCTCGTGAGTCGGGGTATAGGCCAATTTTGCGCACGTTGTCAAAGCACTTGTCAATATTAGGCAACTTCTGCAGCTCCTCCAAGACATTGCGGTCCAGAGAAATGCCTTCCAGCCACTTCATGCGCTTCTGCTTTCGATACAGCAAGACCAGGTTGTCGCCAGAAAAGGGCGACCAGGGATGCCATGAGAACTTGTCCAATTGATTCTCTGGCAGCAGTTCCAAAATCATGCGAATGGCAAAGTTGGCCTGCTGTTGTTGGTTGCATTTATCTAGCACATCTGCAAGGTAGAGGTCAAGCTTGCGCACATGTTGTAGGCCGATGTTCCTAGGGTTGAGGAAGGCTGCGAGGCGCGTATCGTTGGGTGAGCCGACGTCGAGAGTGACTTCGTAGTAGAGCTGGCGGGCAGCAATCTCATGCATCTGCTTGCATGTGAGACATAGATTCTTGAGGTTGGTCGGGCGATTGATCTACGATATGAGTGTCAGCTATAGCAGCCACACAGAGGCTACGCGATACTTGCGTGCTGAATGACGAGCGTCTTCAAGTCGACAGACAAGTCCATGAACGCTAGCCGGGGCGCCATCTTGTGTGCTGTGCGACAAGAGCCGCTCGTCTGCCGGAGAATATAATTTCAGCCGGGAGCAAGAGGCCGAGTGTGGTGGTGTGGGTGTTTGCTGTGGGCGTCTTGTGATGGGCGAAGAATGTGTGGTGGAATTATGTTTGTCAGCGCTGCTGCCTGCTGCCTGCTACCTGGCGCTGCACACGGCGGGTTGCTGATGAGGCTGAGGTGGACAAGCAACAGCAGAGTAGGGGGCAGAGGCTTCTGGGGCTTCTCCACGGCTTGCCTGCGCCCGCCAAAGCAACCAACCCTCAGCCTCACTTCACCTGTCCCGCCATGACGAGGGCCCCCACTGCTGGCTGGGCCGAGGGAGAACCAGGGTCCACACGGGTAGAACAAAAGGGCGCTAGCATAGAGTAAGTAAGTACACAGTAGCCGACATGCTGGGGTAAGTGGAGTGGCCTGCCTGGCTACTATTGGATGCCGTACTTGGACTGCTCTATCGGGCTGAGCATGTCCGCCTTCAATGCCTCCAAGTAGTACATATGTACACACAAGTACCATATATGTACATGTTTTGACAAGTACGCACACTCATTAACACCCATGATCGATGCACCAGACTGTCCTCTGCCAAGCTCAAAAATCGTACGTTCAATTGTAAGGTATCCCCAAGAAAATGCCCAAGATGTTCAACGCCAGATGCCAGACACCTCGCTATGCAGGTGAGACCATGGATGAGACAAAGTCCCAAGAGATCCCTTCGCTTTCGCTTTCCAATATACACGTCTCCCTCATTCTTCTCCATCACTATCACCAAACCCTGCCAATAACTCTGCCTCGAGTCCATCGTCATAATCCTCATCCAGGTCTGGCGCAACCCCATTGGCTTCAACCATCTTGTCCTCGTCTTCGCCTTGCTCCTCTTCCGGTCCGGTGGTTTCGGGGCTGGGTAGACCAGACGACTTTTCCGCACTAACAACGTTTGTCATGGACGTCACTCGCTCCATGGTCCGTTTCTTCCGCTGTTGCAGTCGAGAAGTACTAGTAACGCTAGCATCGCTCTCCTCCGTCTCGCTAGCCTCTGTTGAGTCGGTGCGCTTTCGCTTCTTCTTGGTTTGCTTCGCATCCGACACTATACTGTTCTCTGACCGAACACTGTCCGTGTCCGATTCACTGCCGCCATCCGTGTCTGTCTCATCCATGAACTCTGCCAATTCATCATCCAGCGCAGCCCACGCCTCATCAGACATCTCCACTATCGGTGAGTGAGGTGCCTCGTCCGCCTCTTCGTCACCGGTTCCGTTAATACTCTCGTCCTCGAGATCCGGAACTGGCGATCCACCACGGTCGGCAGCATCGATTTCGATCAGGTAGGGTGTCTCGTCCACATGCTCCCACCTGGTGCAACACTGAAACATCCATTCAGGGTTTACAATCTTGATGTGAGGATAACGAGCAGCTCGCTTGACTTTTGTAGTTTTTCGATCAGGGTTGGCAATGACATGGGTTGTCCGCCGATTGACACTGGTAGTAACCTCTGCACCGAAGCTCGAGATCCACAGTGCAAAGTCTGATCTAGGTCATTGTTAGTTGCGCGCTGCTAACAACGTCCAAACAAACTTACGACAAAACATCCACGCCAAGAGGTATAATACCCGAAAACACAACTACGGCCCCATCGAGCACCTCGCTCTTGATGCGTGGCATGATCTCTGCAACATCAGGGATGACATCGTCCATGGCTCGTTTCTTGGGACTCTTTTCGCCTTTCAGCTCTGCAACACGACCACCCGCGGGCACTTTCTTAGCCTTCCTGTACTCGTCGTAAAACATCTGGTGCACGCGAATCAGATTCTTCTCAATGATATCCAGGCCCCTGTCGTTGTCGTTGAGGATGCTGTGTCGGACTTTGTGGTGTTCCACATGTTGCATATTCCCGTTTTCTACTTGAAGGGAGCCGTCTACATCTTCCGCCTTGTCATCCTCTTTATCTTGCATAAGTTGTTGCTGCAACAGTGGCCGTTCAGTCTGCTGTGCAATAATGACCTTCTCCTGCTCCTTGGCTTGCACTTCCAAATCTTCCGTTGCCGCTAGAGATATAAGTTGCTGCCCTAGTTCATTTAGATCTCCATTTGCAGCTCCAGCTTGGCCGCCTTCGGTAGGTTTGCCAACAACCGCAATAGCTTTGTTGGTCTCGGCATCGGCTGCTGATTTCTTCGGCGTTGGAGACAACTTGTCCTTGGTAAACGACACCAATTCTTGTTGTTTAGGCAGAAAGCTTGCGTTGATGTCTCCAGCACCAGGGAAGAAGTTGAAGACAGGTACGCGGACAAGATGGGGACTGTATTGCCAGACGTCTGCTCTGTCATCAATGATGACACACATGGCTGTGTTCTGGTAGAAGAGCCGGGTCAGGCTCTTCAGCTTGTCTGTGTAGTTTTCGTCGCGGCTGAGGATGCGGTCACCGAAGTATTTGCGCTCGGGATCAATGATCTTTGCAACCGCTTGCGCATATGCTCGGGTAGCCATGGTGTAGACGTGCATTTCGTAGAGTTTGGAAACTCGATCAAAGAAGTCCTTGAGCCCTGGGCGCATCTTGACGTAGTACCAATTTGCAGCCACGTTGGATACGTTGTCGTCGGCGAGTTGAAAGCCCTGCACATCCTTGACAGCGTCGTGGTTTGGGTTCTCGGGGTCCGCCTGCCACTCGGCAATTGTTCGTTCGCAGGTGGTGTGGATGACGGTCTGGTCGAGATCTACAATGAGAGTCAGCTTTCGCGCATTCAGGAGGCGCCTTTTGGCGTCCTCCTCAGCAGCTACGGCTTCTTTGTGGCTGACGAGGAGCGCAGTGTTGTCGTGGGCCATGTTGACGGTTGCACGGTTGACGTCACGCTCCTTGGTCAAATAGTCGACCTGGGTCATGTCTCTGCCGCAATCGACGCAGAGGCCGCCAAACTGGGTCTCATGCGTGCATGGCTCTTCGATCTCGAGCAATGGGATTCTAGGGGCACGTTTAGCCTCCAGGGCTTGTCTTGCGACAACAAAGCAGACTCACCCGGATCGATCGATGACAGTGCCTGGCTTGACGAACCATCGCATGATCTTTCCTTCGGTGCTCGCATCAAAGGTTTGCCTAAACTTCTTCATCACCGTCCGCTCCCCTCCCCACTTGTCGCCCTCGACGACACGGCTCTCATAGCTGTAGGTGAAGAGCTTCTCGGACCGTGGTACCTCGGCGTCGCGCTTCTTCAAAAGGTCGACCACGGTGATGGGATAGTTCAAATCCCGGGGCGAAAGGATCTTCATGCCGAGCCGTGGCAGCTCATGCGACTGACGACGTGGTAGTGATGGCGGTCGCGTCGTTCTTCTAGTTGGCGCATCCGGTACTGACGCGGCAGAGCACTCGAAAGGCCGCTCGCGCGTCGTCGCAAGGGTATTGGGGATGCGAGCAACGTGTTGGCTGGGGAAAGGCGCCTGAGTGCGTAATGGAGAGAGTCGAGGATTCTGGCTAGTTTGCAGCGCGATAAGGGAATGGGCTGGGTGCGAGAGTGGGCGTGCTGGGTGTGCGACTGGGGATTGACGTATGGCGTCGCGGCTGGCCGATTTCCGATTTCCCCCCAAATAATTTGGAGCGAGGGGCAGCTTTATACCTTTGCAGCCACAGGGCTAGCGTGCACCTTGCTCGCACGTCCGCTCAAACATCAAACCCAACGGACAAAGGACAGCCCTCGGGGCTCCCTGCCCGTCGGCCACATGCCCCGCTGGCCAATTACAGCAATGCTCTAATTCGGGCATGGTGAGCAAGTGAGGCAGAGAGGAATACAACAATGCATCGTCGACAGTGCAATTGCCTACACGGCCGTGTGGAAACCCACGTACTTACACAATAGTGACTACGAAGACAGCGACATTGCCAAGACCCGCCGATCATCCTTGCGACCACAGTGTTGTGCGAACAAGACACAGCCACTACATCCATATCATGTAGCAGCCAACAGAGCTTGCCTTTAGTTTGGCTTGAAGAGACAAGGCTCATGTAGTAAATGTAATACTAGATATGTTGCGAGACACTACAGATGGACTGCACTTATATAATTTAATACCCTAACCCTCACGCCTACATTATTACTACATCCATCCAGGCCCCATATCCTCCCAACGCCTACCAACGTCCTCATCCGGAGTCTGACAAGGCTCAATCCCGACGCGCAACTTCTGGTGGTGCCTGTTTCTTCGCAACTGCGCCCTTCAACACCATGCTGCCCAGAACCAAAGAACCAGCGCCCATCTGAGATGCGTCCTGGTTGATCCCCGCCAATGGCTGCTGCATCGCAAAGGGATGAGCTCCGTCCATCTCCTCGCCTTCTTCAATGATTGTCCAGTCCTCTTCAAACTCTTCACTGTTGTCATCGTCCTGTTTCGTCTGCTTCTTGATGAGCGTGCGAGCGCGATCTAGTTCTCGGTAGATGGTCTGGATCGCAACTTGCGTGCCATTGTCCTACGACGTGTTAGCCATGGTACCCGCAACCTCTAGCTGTTGCCTATGCTCACCTTTCTGATCTTCTGTCCGAGCACTTTTGCCTTCATGATCATGCGCTGGCTGTTGGTGACTTCCCATAGTGCACGACTGAAAACACTCGTATTGACCTTCTTCAGCCATACTCCAACGCCCATGTCTTCCACGCGCTGCGCAAAGAAAAATTGGTCGCCAAAGAAAGGCTTAATGATCGTGGGAATTCCAGCTCGCAAGCTTGCTCCTGTAGTGCCGGAGCCACCATGGTGCACTGCAGCGTCCATCTGTTTGAACAACCAGTCGTGCGGTGCGGCCTGAATCTGAAAGATCTCGGGTGGAAGGGGAATCTCCGGCTTTGAAGCGTCTTTGGTCTCCAAACGATCAGACCAGCCTTTAGATAGCACGCAGCGTACGTCTGCCTTCAATACAGAGTCTACGACAGTCCTAGTAAGTGCTGCGGGATCGTCGATGACAATGGAGCCGAACCCAACATAGACCAGCTTCTTGC